CTCGGAATGATTGTGTTAAGCTAGCACTAAGTCCCTCCCCCATCCACCTTTATTCTTTTCTTCACAATAAGGCTTTCAAATAAGTCATGGTTATACGGCAGTGAAGCATCGGTGTTAAACAGTGATGTCATGCTGTCGATAACGATGATGATTTCAGTAGATCAACCTGCGCCATCGTTCAATTCATCTCCCGTCCTTTGTATCCTGATGTTTGCATCCAGAATCTACAACATTCTGGTTGTAATTCTGGTTATCTCTTCACAGTAGGTATATGTCGCGTGCGCCGGTCACCTAATGGCGGTGGTATATCCTAGCCTTTCTTTCTTCCAAACGACAACCTTGAGTAAGTTCTTCACGCATATTCATCTTCCGAAACAAGCACCATCGGTGACCTCAACATACACAATTCTGAATAGCATACATTATTCTTTCACTTTGACCAGTCCGGTGGTGGAGCAGAGTCACTTTTAATCACTTTCACCGCCACTCGCACCCACTGCGATGACCATCCTGGATTTCTTCCATACCTCTCCATACTCCTTCAAATCAGCGCTTCTGAGCTCAGTTGAAATCCCGTCGAGGAAGTGAAGTCATCCTATTCCGGAAGCCAAGAAGCGCTGTACTGCTGCTTCATCTCCATTGGGGATCATCACTGGTGCGCTTCTCACCAGTCTCGATGGGCATTCGAATCCATGACCTACGTAGCAGCATTTGAAGAATAGACTATTCGGTCTCAAATGACTGTTCAGCAGTTTGATTGGTACTTTGATGTACTATACTTTGTTGATATGCTACTCACAAAGTTGCAGAAAACTGCGACAGTCCGTTACAAGCGTCGCACTTCTCGGGGCTTATCCCCGACAAGGTTCTCGAGGTTCCATTTACTTTATGTTCTACTTGAACACCAAACTGCACTCATTTGCAAAATTACGTAAATCTTAACGTGATACTCAAGCGAGTGTCTTTGTGAGTGTGTCTCGCCAGTTGCATACAATTTGGTGTTCGATTTATACGTAAGGTTGGTGAAAGCCCGGGGACTACGCCTACTTGGTGGGTTTCAAAGAGGGTGCCACCAGTAGTGTACTGTCTGAGGGCTTTCAGCAACTCCCTGAGTAGTGTTCTGTGTTGGGATAACGTACTTCAACAACCAAAATATCGTGCCAAATGATATGAGACAGAAGAATTTGAAGAATATCTTAAACCAGGGGTTCAGTTGAGTTTCCCCTTTAACGCCAACGTGATTTACGCATGACCATATTTCGTCAGTATAATGTGATACCACATTACATGGCCTGTATAGCTCTTATTAGAAACAAGACTGTCTCGCCATATTCTTGTTTACTTTTCGTTTTGCGGATCACAAACCAACCATATGTTTCTAGTTTCCACAGAGCCGTTTTGTTATTTCGTTTGTCGAAACCAAATTTATGATGAGACGATGTACTTATATCATTTTTGTTCTTTCACAATCCAGTTGGTTCCGTATCCTGCTACGGGGATCAGCACGAAACACTTGGCGTGGGCCGTGTTCTCCGCAAGTATTGGAGGCATGCTCATGCCAGTGTGTTTGCTCGGTGGCCCCATTCTCACGCGAGCGGCTCTCTATACCGGGGGGATCGTTGGAAGCCTGTCGGCGGTTGCTATATCTGCACCGTCCGATAAGTTTCTCAACTGGGGCGGACCTCTGGCTATTGGTTTGGGTGTGGTTGTCGTCTCTTCTCTGGGTAGGTGCCGTTGTTTCTGCCTACATGTTACCTCCTTGGTGACCTTTACCAGTCCTTGCTGTTGCGTCTAAATTATCATATTATTGGTTTTTATTCGTTGGATTCTTTTCCAGGATCAATGTTCCTGTCGCCAGCCAGTCGCTTGGGTTCGGGAATGGCTGCCATCAGTTTGTACGGTGGACTGCTTCTTTTCTCTGGCTTTTTGCTCTACGACACCCAGTTGGTCATTCGCCGTGCTGAGTTACATCCTGCTCCAGGGTACTATCCACCAGAACGTCTTTATGGTGGTTTGCCAGTCCAACAAGGACAGATAATTAAACCTTTCGATCCGATCAATAAGTGAGCAGTTTTTGGTTGTCCCACACAGTTTTGCATGCTGTCTTCGATTGTACGGGTTATACACTCCATATTGTGGAGTAATCTTCCCCAACCAAACGGTCCGTTCCGCAAGCTGACGAAGCGTATGAGAGACCACAACCCCCCTCGGTACATGGGAATTTGGCGAACGAAGTCATAGTCCATTCACCGTTTGTTTAACCCAGTATATGCCGTGAACTCATTTCCGTCAGTAAATACGTCTAACTATGTTCAAGATGTTTGCTGCAAGCTGTCCCTGTTTGAGAAAGAATGACCTTTGCTCATTCCTAACAGCCACACCTCAGGCACATATTCCAATGATATGTATTCGCTCGTTATGTTCGTGTACTTAGGCCGAATGGAACGTTCATCCTTTTGCGCGTGCGTCAGTGTGGCTCCGTATTAGGTTAAAGCGTGAACCCGCTGGCCGGGAGGCTAGTTGTTCGAACCTAACTCTAGCTCGATTGTCTGGACTTGGGCAGCTTGGTAGTATTTCGACTGCCGTGCTTCTTTAGAGTTGCACGGCAGCCATGCATCACGAGATGGCTGAAGTGGTTAGAGCGCGAATTTACTGACCGGAAGGTCCGTGGTTCGAACTCGACCTCTGCCTCTCGACTTCCCCTGCCTAGACTTGGGCAACCTGGCAGTATCCCAGTCCTCGTGCTTCGGGTAGCATGGCAGCTGGGGACCGAAAGGGTGTTACAGCTGAACGGTTTGTACATCGCAACTAAACAATTTTTCTAAAATGTCCATTTACACGACCATCCATTATCTGCAATGCCGATGAATAAATGAACAAAACTGTGGCAGCCAGGCACACCTCAAGTTATCTTATGATATAAACACTTACGCTCAACCACACAATTCCCTTTACACTTCTCGAACCACTCTTGGTTTTCTGAATGTAATGACCTTGAAGGAAGAGAGGAAGAAAACAGGTTATCTGGAAGCATGAAGTTTCGAACGGCTATGATTGCAGAATCACCTCGTCATTCTGGTCTTAAGACAGAAGGATCGGGGGCTGGCTGGTACGGTATGTTGTTACAAAGTCACCACCAGAAAGAACGAACGACCATCCACTACTGGTAGCTATACGGTTACGTATCAACAACAAAACTCGAGGCATCATGTTGACAAAGGCTTCTGTAGTACCCCTTTTTCTTGCCCGGGACGCTCAGGCGCATCTCACTCATGGTGCTCAAAATCATCCAATCTATCTTCCTTTCCATTTATCTTGTACATTTGGGAAATTAAAAGAGTCGATTTTTTTAAAAACGGTTCGGCTGTAACACCCTTTCGGTACCTAGCTGCCATGCCAAAGGAAGAAGGCACGAGGGCTGAGATACTGCCAGGTTGCCCAAGCCTAGGTAGAAGCAGTTGAGTTCAAACCTTGTGTCTTTCAGTCACCAATTTCGCTTCTTAACTACTGAGCTGTCTCGAGTAGTGTGTGCACATCTGACCACCAAGAAACCACCAACTACTTTCAGTTGAACCACGACTGTGTTCCTGAGCAGTTTTTGGCTACGTCGTTAAAATAGGCATTTCATGTTTTTACGTTCAAGTTCTGCCACTCGATTCGTCGAACCCAGCTTTATCAGTATTCACCAAATGAGCTAGCCGATAACCCCTGCACCTCTTTCTAAACCTACGGTATAGTTTGCCCTCAGCAAATACGATAGTACTACTCACCGGACTGAGCGGAATTTCGCGACCTAGCAGGATGCACCGAGTACCTACGTATCCACATGCGTTCTTTTAACCGTCACTAAGTCTTGCATGTGAGTTGCTCCGTTTTACGTAAGAAACCATGTGACAGTTTAGTTGGCATTAAAGGATAATGCAGCCTAATGCGTACAACAGGTAGTGTGATTTACAACTGTAGTTAAGACTATTCTTTGTTGGTTGTGTTGATCTGCTTAGTGAAAACATGCAGAAAAATAACTTGTAGCAAATCGCCCCACCTGTCAGGTCATTCCGCCACAAACAGGGACCATCGTTATACCGGAGGTAGCATTGGGCTGTAGAATTTACAATCAGTAGCTTCTGCCTTACCAGTGTCTTTTGTCTGGTCCGTAAATCCAAGTATCAGGGGGAGAGGGACGGGTTTTTTTGTAACACTGGTACAGTCACCCGAGGAGCAGTGCACCACGAATCCCACGTTTTTGACAGCTTCCAAGAGGATGACCATTTAAACCGGTTCTGAGCTCGTTTTCTCACAGAGATGTACTGTTGCACGACGTTAAAGCACTCTGTAATTCGTCCATCACATAGCAGTGCGATATCGCTTGTTCGAAGTATCGCAAACCGGGTGTTAGCCGGCTGGAAATGCCATCATGAAATATATCTCAAGATAGTATCCCCCTCTCCTCAGAGGGATACTTTTGAATGCATTGCTGTATACTACAAAGGGCCAAAAAATATAATGTAAGTGTGGACAAAATGTATTCAAAAACATTACATCCTCTCCTGTGTTAACAGATGAAATGTCGAGTAAGGGTTGACGTTCACATTAATGGTGTTCACGAAGTACTTTAATTTAGTTGTGAGCTCGAGCTGTTGCATCCTATGTTTATGCCGCTGTAGGTTGCTTCTGCCAGCGTCTGGGCAGCGTTAGTCAACATTATGGTAAGAGGTTATACTGCTGTGCATGGAGCTTGAACCACATAATCCGCTAAACTCTCAGTTCCTTGTGGAACCAACCCCTTGTCTACGTTACTGGAACCAAACCTTGGTTGTAATTGGGCCGTCGTACCGCGCCTCACCCATCTAACCTGTGGTTTTCAAGAGTTACACTGTCTTCTAGGACAGCCTAGAGTTTGCATAGGCCTTGTGCATCAATGTAAATGGTGTGCAAGAACCATTGCTCTTATTCCTAACATGGAATGGCTTGTCTTTTTGCGTTGGAGTCCCAAGCGCCCCGTCATCGCTTTCTAGTCTAAATGTTACATTGTCAGCGGTTGTGATGGCACTGGCTTTGGCAGGCTTGAATTGGCTCAACCGGGGGGAGTTGGTGGACATGTCATCAGATCACATCACGGTTTGACTGACTCCATTTGCAATTTGTAAATAAAATGTTAACGCTAGACCCAATCGTCTCCTAACGTTATCAGTAATCATGTGAGTCACATGCTCTGTACGTCTTATCTTGGCATATCTGACGAGAATGTTAGCAAGTACCTGACTCTTAACTTTGCCAGAACAAATCTAATCTTAGTTTTGGGGTATCGATTCCGTGACCACATGACCAAGTAAACTGTGGACGTGAATGTTATTTCGAGACTGAGGTCAAGTTGCCACAAAGATTCGTTTTTTTTAGGTTCTGCTGAGGGTTTAAGGAATGGAAGTTTGTGTTGGCGATCACGTGCACACGCCTCTTGTTTTTGTGGCACACGATAACGTAGAGCCATTCCTGTACGTTAGTTGCTGCAAATTTTTACGCATCTAAACAGATACGGTGAAATATTCGCGCATTTGGTCAGGTTTTTGTGGAAATTCAGAGACTGAAAACGTTCAGTGTATTATGAAATCCATGCGGTGCTTCGAGCGGTCCGATTACCATAATGTGTTCTCCTCGGTCACTCGGATTCTCTGTTTGATCGTGCGATAGAGAGGTTTTACTGAAGTGTTTTACCCTCCGTTCCACTGATGTGGTGTCAACAGGTTGTGACAACGTTGAACGTGAATAACAAAATAATTTTAGAACCATATCATCCGCTAGAGCTTGTGGTTAAACCCTTGGACTTCGGCCTTTCGTGTTTAACGGTTGGGTAAAGCTCTACAATTAAGCTGAGCGAGTAAAATCGCTTTTGACAACACGTTTGTGACATGAAAGTCTGCTACCAACTATCATACACCGACTTTCCTAAACTTGAAAGGGGTATTGTACCCCCTGTTTTTTTTAGTTTTTTTTTTTGGAATTTACTTGCTTTGTTTTAACATTTCTGTCTCATGAGGTTTTCGTACCACACCAGAACGCCCACTTCGTCACTTCCTATCCGAGATCGGTTATCGAACAAAAGTATTTTTGCTCAAAGGAACATCCATAAATTTTCTCCTTGATCCGTTTTAACAGTTCTGACAGTTCCGTGCCCTCTCTCCGTCAGATCTTGGTGCTGATTTGCGAAAGGCACAGCCGACTGCGGTCAAAGTTGACTGCAGTTGGCTCAGCGAAGACGAATCTAGTTAACAGCTACAAATTTCACATGCGGAACTATCCCAGGCACTGTACTTCTGTGAGCTGAATCGATGGTCTCAGAGCTAGTTCTAGCCACCTTTACAGGCGCTGAGCTCAATAATCTGATAGCACACTACACTAGCAAAGCCTCAGTTATCGCACCACAGGTTTGCAATCGCATACAGTTGATTGAAAAGACGTTGTTTTATCGTGTGAATGCATCATTCTGACGTGGATTGTGCATGACCCATTGACAGCCAAATACTTGGGTTTCACAAGTGCGTTGCTCCGCGCTGATGTCATCAGTTGATAAACAGTTGATATATAGTCCCCTATTTTTCGTGAGATTCATTTCCCTAACCCTCGGAGTTGTGCAACACGTGCTGGCAACGGCTTTAGAAGAGTAGATAGTCATGCACCCGAACGAAAGTGAAGGAACACAAATGTCATAGCTGCCACCTATAAACCCTACATACAACGATACCCGCTGTTGATTTTTTTTGTCGTAAGAACGCAATTTTGGTGGTGCTCTTATCTGTTTGTCTAGGTGTTCTCCGCTCCTTTTCGCGTTACAGGATCTCAATTTTCAACTGAGGGCATCTGTTCGCTGAATTTACCAGTAATTTTGATTCGATACACAGAAAACTCTAAAACGATCCTGTTACGTGCCCATAGTGAATCGCTTATAAGCCCACTTCCCCTATCCTATCGTTAATTGCCCCTAAGCTTCTACTAACCTGCGTGGTTCTCATGAGTTCAACTGTTACCACAATCGTTATCAAGCACAGCAGTGCACCAGTAGTGGAAACATGTGCTTAAATGCCACACAACCGTGGAGGAAGACCATAGTAAAAGGTGGAAAGAAAGGGAAGGTGTTGAGACTTATCACCTAAAGCTCTATGTCTCAAAAGAAAACCGTGCCCACCTCTTCCGAAAGCATTGATATAAGCTCATCTGAGAAAGATGCCCAACATTCCTTGCGGACCACACCCCCTTCCTGCAATGACATACAAGCGTTAGATAGTCAGCCCAGCTAAAGCATCACAACGACCTCATCATTGGTATCGGTTAAGCGCGATGTCCTGTGGTGATTCCAGTCCGTCGCAAGCACAATCACGTCGAGCCCATCTAGGAAAGCCGATAGCCTCTCAGAGCTTAGCATCACAGCAGCTGGTTTCGTTTCTTGTTGCCACGCCTTGTACCCTACGAGTCTTCTGCTGACCACCGCCTGAATTAGAGTTGGAAATGAGTGCAAATGCCGAAATCAGTCCAATTTGGGTTCAATTAGACTGCTTTCTTGGGTGTATAGTTGTCTAGCATACTGCACTGATGCCTCAACCGCCTTAACCTCAAGCTTGATTTACTGCTCGAGAGAATTCAACTCATTACCCAGTACTCGCTTACCTACCGTTTCATTAAGGGCGTGATACCGCCAGTTAATGCCTGTCGTAGTACGGAAACGTCGGTAACCTGCGGATGCTTGAGGTCTTCAGATCGTCTTCAGGCCATAAAGTAGAACTGCCCTCATGAGGTAAACGAACGTTTAATGACCCTGACAGATGTGGCTGAGAACTAACTAGTCACTAACTAACTAACAATCTACACCAACGCCGCTATAAACCGCTGCATCAGATTTAAAGTCACCTAAAGTCCATAGGCAGTAGCGTCTAGATATCGAAGATACCATAGGCTGGATTGGTGCATATGGATCTCGTATTCAAGCTTCGGGAAATATCTATCAGTGAGGTATCAAGAGTGCGCGCCAGAGAATCCCGTTGGCCGATTCGCTTCAGAGTTCGCACATTAGAATAAACGCACTTTAAATCAGGGGACAAAAGTCTAAGAAGAGGGGTGGTGGTGCGGGAGATGTAAGGGATGGCATACCATTTGTCACTTCTTTAGATGCAAGAATTTTGCCTGTGGCTGGAGGCAACAGCAAAACGGTCATTATATAAGACCGGCAGATAATAATTCAGAAAGATAAGAATCGGTAATAGCCCGTTTTCGTTTACCCTGCGTGCTGTGTGCATCAATTAAGGCAACCCGGCTGGTGACATCACGCGACGGCAAGGCAACCGGCTGGTGACACCACGCGACGGCAGATGTGGTATTCGTACAGTTCACGTTACCTCTCCGCGTTGAAGTTACAGCGTCATTTCTAGTGGGTAGCGCTCGCAGTCGACCTGGGTCACGTGGTACTCCAGTTCAACTGATGTTTGTGATCAATTCTGGTCATAGAAGTTATGCCTGCCTATAGAAACACCGGAGCAATCAAAGATGCATGGCAACGAACTGCGCTCTACCGGAATTCGCGTGAACAATATGCTGGCCAATATCTGTGTGTAGGGCACCAAGGAAACCAATGGTTTATAGCAAACTGTATACCGCAGTTGATGTGGCCCGTAAATAACCACGCAGCAAGTACTTCGTAGTCGTACAGTCTTTATTTAAGGTTTGGCGAGTGTTCTGAGGTCCCCGTCTCCAGAAACCTATGAAGGTGGGGAGGTTCTCTTGGTTTCACGTTGTGGAACCGAAGAAGAACGAAAAAACTGTTCAGTGACAATAAAAGGTACTACTTTGGCGATCTACATGGATGGGCTTGTTGTTGGCAAGGTTTGGAGATAGAAGGGAATTCAAAATGAGTCATCTTTTATAGTTTGGGTTTTCATTTCTGTCGTAGAGAAGCATTTGGCGACTAAGCTAGATGGATACAGTAGCAGCCAACTTAAAGGTCACCTGCCATGTTTTTGGGTAGCCTCAGATAACTCTCATATTTTCGTTCTCATTGTATTGCTTCTCTTCCATTCTGTGGCAGAGCTGTGTCGTGATTTGCACACCGCCCACTTTATAGCTAGCCTATGTCCAAGGACTACCACCCAGCTCCATAATTTTCGATCCACTCCCTTGCAGAGAGTTTGGCATGGCAGTTCGAGCGATATTTAAGTCCTTCCAGGTGTGCGGTCAAGTTTAACTCGGTGTTTCCGATCGTCCCACTAAAACTGCTGCACTTCAAGCCAGCTTCTGCTATGTCTGTGCATTTTATACTTGCATAGAGTCGTTAGTATGAGGCCCGCTTGCAATGTGTTCTGCATCAGAGGTAGGCTCTGTTTTTGGATTTCTGTCCTGCTAACCGTACTGTTGAGATGGTGAGATGGCTCAAGTGGTTAGAGCGCGAATTTACTGACCGGAAGGTCCGTGGTTCGAATCCGACCTCCGCCACTCGACTTCCCCTGTCTAGGCTTGGGCAACCTGACAGTATCCCAGCCCTCGTGCTTCCTTCGGGTGGCGTGGCAGCTAGGCACCGAAAGGGCGCTACAGCTGAACGATTATTATTATTATTAACCGTACTGTTATAGCGATAGAACTTGGTTCATCTATCTATCTGCAATCATACACGAATTCACCTGTATTTCCGGATGGGTTTGTCATCTTTCGTAGATTGTCGTATCGTCTCCTTGGCCCCTTCTCAATCAACTGATGTTCTCCTTCCCCCAAACTATTTCACTTGTGACAGATTTGAGTCGATTCTACGGGTTACTGTAATCTGCAATACAAACAAATTCGTTAGTCAATTCTGACAGATTGTTGTACAGTTTCTATCCAAGGGACACCCCAATGCATTGGTCCCTTCCAGGTTACCTGACTTGCGGACGCTGTGGATTAGCTGATTTCATCTATCAATTGTATTCGTATCGTGGTTGCCGACCGCTGTTCTCTCGCCCTAGTTCCAGGAGGAAAATAGATGTTTCTGGCCTAGAACTGAGCCGTTTTTATTGTACTACTCACCTCCTGAACAAAACCATTGTATTTGCTACAATCACTGTATTTTGACAGCACACTGAGCAAACTGGGCAGATTACGAATTATAGACACACTTGCTCAAATTATTGATCGAATAGAGCTTAGAGATAAAGCTCGTTGCGTCAGCTGACGACTGATGCAAGTGATTGTTTGGATTTACAGACACTCAAAAGAGCACAAGGGTCTCCACCAGGTCCACTTTTTTATTTAAAAAAATCGGATGACGTCGATAACGTCGCTTACAAAGAGGTCTATCTGTAATTTGCGATGAACACCCTGTGAAGGTTTCAGATGAAGAGCTGAGAAATTGGACCATATCAGCTCAGCTCAAATGTTCCACCGCCCTTCTCTTTTTGATCAATTGTCCATCATGGCAAGGGAACTCACAATGCTGTACTTTTCTCATTCTCTTTTCAGTTCCATCCGCATCCTCATGGATACGGTTAACATATTCGTCCGTATGGTGGCTATCCTTGCTGGAGGACAGCGGCGAAAATAGATGTCATGACAACCGATCGATTGGCAAAGTTTGCTCTCAAATTGGTGGTGCGCTAACTCTGCTACACAATATTTTAGCTGTTCCACTCCAAAGAGTGACAGGAATTTTGTTTTTTTCGGATGCCGCACTAAATAATTCGGGCTCTTTGCTGCTGGTTTATGTCTGTTGTAGTTTGAACTCTTGATTTGTGTTTTTGAACGACCAACTGACATCAATCGGTTTCATGTGTCTTTTCGTTCGACAGTTGGTTTTCATGGCACTGCAGTTCTGTGGGCGCCCGCAGTTCTGTGACATTATCGTTTAGCTTTCCAAGGAGATCCTAAGAAGTACTCGCACAGCTCATGGGTAAATTGCAACTTATCAAAGTTGCGTCTCGCAGCCTGCATCGGAGGAGCGGCGTCTCGAAGACTTTCGTGCTGGACTCATGGACTCTTGTCACGCTTACACAAGCATCTGCGTCTGTTGTGGACCACAGTCTTTTCAATGCCTTTATAATACCGTGAACCCAAGTTTGGATAGCTGTTTGATAGCCTGATGCGCTTAGCCAACCAGAAAAGTCAATGAGCGTGCGGGCTAGCTGATCTATTGATCACTGACGCGTACAAGCGTGTCGTGTGCAGCAGAAAATGGGCTGTTTATGAAGCTCATGCGGCAAGTTCTGGACGGGCTAAAAACAACCAGCTATATCTGTCTCAACGAAAACGGTTATTCCACTGGTAGTTGAAGCTGATAGTTACGTTCGGAGCTGGTTCTCCTAATAGCGTCAGTTTTTGTTTATCTCTAAACTGAAATTTAATCTAATCAACCAACATCCGACCCTAAGAGTGTGTCAGCCTCTCCAAGTTAATTTGTTTGATCGCTTACTGACGGAAAAAAACAGAACCACTCGGATTGTCTTTTTTTCAAATAGCTCTCCGCAAACTACAAAATATCTTCAACGCTACACGGTAACCGATCATAATTCAGTATCGAACACCCCTTCACCAGCCTGTTTCAGAACATCCAGTTCCACTCATTACTGATATCACCTAACACAGGTATTATGAGCAGTGTTCCTGACAGACTTCGATTTGGCTTATACCGGTATAACCCTAAAGCGCCTGAAGAACGTCACAAACAGGTGATTTACTTTAATCTGTGGGTCATTTGTTCGGCGTCCATTTGACTAGGTGGTGAATGGACCAAAAGAGCCGCATAGACGATACAGTTTTAACCGACTGTCCCAAAATCTTGAACAGCTCAAGGGTCGACTGACTGATGACCTGAGATCTCGGCGTCCTTTTCAACGCACTCATCACGGGTACCGAGTGAGGATTCCACCTTCCACCTACTGAGTTAAGCTTATTCAACCAGTCAATCCCGTAAGCCATTCGGTTTAATCACGCATTCAGTTCACCACCATAGTTCAAAGCTCTCGAGCCCCCTTGTACACGACCGGTAGCAGGGCGTTCGTGGTGGCTTTATCTCACTGTTAGGCAGGAATCCACGCGGATCCCACTATACCGCACGTCTTTAGGCGCTGCTACGGCCGAGAAGCCTGGCCCGCTCGAGGTTGGCCCAGAATCCGGGACGCTTGCCGGTCCAGCATCAAGACGAGATCTGATTGGTCAACAATCTGGACCCAACAGCCAATCATGACCCAGTATTGGCCAAATGCCGGTTGCCAATGGCGCATCCAGAACGCGCCCGAAATTCCAGAAAGTTAACCGCTTACGCTATATATACGAAGCGCTGTACAACTGTTCCTGATTTCGTTTTGGGCGTTAATAGACCTTGTGCACCTTTGGTGGTTGTTTTGACGTGAACGCTAGCTTGGGAGGCTCAGACCGAGAACTAAGCTGGGGAAAATACCGTCACTACACTCACCATTCGGTTTCTGGAGCCAGTGTGCACGAATCATTTAGCTATGCCCCACAGGTATCACTTTTCTGGTTCTCCTCAGTTTTGCCCTAACAGATTAAGACGGGGCGTCGAAACTGGGATAAAATATGATTCTTTAATATTAATCAAAAGGTGCCACAGAAGGAGACTCAGTTCTCACCACATGGCATCGGTTCGTTATACGCAGTTTGTTGTTAATTTGTGAAGCCTTATAGGATAAATTTTGAGTTCCACTAAAATCGTCTCATTCAGGCAGGTCGTTATGCTTTGGGAGATTGCTTTGTTTGGGATTGCTAAGATCACATTATCCATTGGTCGAGTCCGTACAGTAGTGCTTAACTGAATTAGAAGTGCGTCGGTGTTGAAAATTCCTTCCAGGAGACTACTCACCTCCTGCACCGAAACACAGGTCGAAACGTAATAAAGATTCTCCGGTACCGTCCCCATTGGAAGTCGCGATAGGTCGAGTAGCTGGAACATGGTGTGGGTTATTGGCGTAAAAAGTGGTCCATTATCAAACTGACGACTCATGACGTTGGACTTAGGTTTCCACGCCATCCATTTTTAGCCTAATGGGCACTCAGTAGTCGGTTGCTGCATCACATACACATGTGCTAACCAAGTGTAGATAATGATGTCGAAATTTTTGCAAGTAATGTGTTCCCGACAAGGTGTATCAGAATTAAATCCCAGTCGACTACAAGGTATGCTGACAGTATGTTGCTGAGAGGCAGGCACCCATATCAACTTCGTGCGGCTAAATCAGCCGCAGGTGGGTTGGTTGACCTTGCTGTTTGACCTGCCGCAGTAGAAGCCACTAGTGATTCGGTGCCTACTCTAGTTAATAACAATGGCTTGAATCATTCCCCGATATCTGGTAAGTCGCGCTCAGGTAGGCCACCCAAGTTTAGTACTAAGATGGGGTTTCCATCGTAGACGAAACGTTCAAAGAACCTGATGTAGTTTGGTTAGATGCTACATTATGACCGGACACGAGGATCTCCCTATTGAACTAGTCCAGTGTGTTTTTTGACCAGGCACGCACTAAAAATTTTCATTAGGTCAAAACCACAAGTCAAGGGCGATAAGATACAAGTGTAAATCACTCCAGGAGTGTTCACCTCAAGCAGTTCGTTAATCAAAAGGAGTCAGGTGAACATGCCTCACCTTCTTCGCAGTTTCTAGCCCGACCTAATTCTGAATTGTTGAGAGCATCAGCCAATCGGCGACTCTGCTTGGGGTCACTGGTGGACACGGCAGAACTCAACCAAACATATTTTGCTAGGTTCATGCGGTTTGTTGGCCGAGCGCACTACAACATCCGCGCGATTCTTACCTCGAAAAGTTGCGTCGGTTTCGGCAGCTTTTGACTGTTGCTGACTTTTTTGTGTAAGTGTTCTCGAGAGGGATCTGTATCGTTCTCTTGATGATGAGAATACTTTTGGCATTACTCAGGAGCGCGCTGATGAGAAGCAGCCTGATATAGCCTAGTCTGCCCTGAGGCTCTATAAAACCCGTCTTAAAAGGGAGCTGCCTCACTTCATAATGCTAGAACGGATTTCCGTTTGGTCGACAGAACAGTAGGTGGAACAATAAGTCAGCCTTAGCATGAATAACCTTGAAAAATAGACTGCTCCAGCTAACTACGGAAATGTGATTACCGGATCACCGGACGGAAGTGAATTTGTGGGGCAAATATATTTCAAGGAACGAAAATCCCTTGGTACCAAGTTGCATTGATAAATGCAGATGAGCTTAGAAGTGCTGGATGACGGTGATTGACTCCAAGCTCTGAAAAACACGGTATTCAAATAGGTGTTGGAAGGGGGTATATCCTGGGACCGGTAGCCATTCGATCCACAAGAGGAGAGTACCCAAAGTCCGAGCTGTTCTGCACTCAGCTACTCCATTTTGCATACACTAAGAGGTCATAGAAACAAGGACTGAGTGGCTTTGTATGGATTGCCCGAGTCCGTCTTACAAGAAAGCTACTTCTCCAACCAAGAGCAACTTGTCCTAGAAAAGACCTGTCTGTACATTTGGTCATTGTTTATGTGACAGACTGCTCTGATTAGGGTTGTTCCGTATTCGGAAGGCCAACGCGCGCCGTAATTGTATGTCCGATCGGTTGGGTGATATAATGACTACAATAGTTGTGAGCGCTCAGTACCTCATTTTGCATGTCTGTCCAACAGTCTGTAAGGTTGGCGGCACCCTAAACTACCCGAGGGTTGGAGAATCCTGATCTTTGTTCCCGGTACTCGAGTCTCTAGACAATACGATCGGGTTTCCCACATCAACTTGAATAGGTGGTAAGGTGTACGATGAGCCCGTCCTTTGGTATGCATTTTGCATTCCTGGACATGCAGTCACTAAGCACGCCACTTACTCGAAGTTGTGGAGCGTTTCGCCTATCTTGGAAATTGTATTGGTTCTGATTGTAGGGTAACAGATGAGGTCGATGCACGGATCTGCAAGGCTCGGACCACATTTTCTAATTTGAGACACCTATGGCGTCAGAGTGGCTTATCCCTTAATCTGAAGGGACGTGTGTATCAAGCTACAGTACGGGCTGTTTTGTTGTATGGCCCTGTGACTTGGCCTATTCGAGCAGCGGAANTCTTCAGGTGTTCGACAATCGTTGTCTCGGAACCATAGCTCGTGTGGGTGAATCCGTAACGAGGCAATTAGAAAACCAGTTTTCGGTTGTGTAACGGGTACTACCATTAAAGAATGTGTCCAGCACCAGAAGCTGCGTTGGTTATGACATGTGTTACGCATGCCGAACCATCGTTTGAGGAAGAGAGTGCTGTTTTGCATGCCCAACTCAGAGTGGCGTAAACAGAGAGGTGGCCAACCCTTGACTTGGCAGAGGAGTATGAAGGAGATCACGAAACGCTTGGGTGCTGTCGGTGCTACTCGCCTTCCAGGATGGGGACCGCGTGATCCTCACTGTGCCTGGTTGGAGACACTACAAGATATGGCTGCCAACCGATGTCAGTGGCGTTCTTGTTGTCAGTTTCTATCTAGATTGCCTGAGTGAATGTCTGGAAGTGTAGGCAACTCGGAATGATTGTAGTAAGGTTGTACTAAGTCCCTTCCCTATCCAACTTTATTCCTTTCTTCACAATGAAGCTTTTAAATAAATCATGGTTGTACGGCAGCGAGGTATCAGTGTTGAATACTGATGTCTTGCTGTTCAAAATGATTATCACACCGGGAACAAAGGACAAATCATTATCCCGAGACCGGAAGTTTGGAATTCCGATACTCAATTGAGATGCATAGTTAGGATGCGACGTGAGATTTTCTGAGTTCCTTCAAGCAATTGATTTCGGTGGGTGTGACGCACGTCTGACGACAGCACAGAATAAAAGCACAAAGCAGAGCCAGACGGTGAACAACAATTCTTACCGAAAACCAGCCTTGGAAAAATTCCACTCTTGAAACCCAGATACACTTGCCTGAGATAACTTCACCCATCCGAGTATGTTCAGTGTGCGAAAAATGTGACGTTCACTTCTCAGTAGACCGCCATTCAGGATTCTAAGCAGTCGCCTCAGAAAAACCCGAATATGGAAAGTATCAGGAAGATCAGATTCCTGAAAGTAACCTCAGAACGCCCGGAACCTACTGCTCCACCAAAATCTCGACAGGAAAGCCGGCAAGCATTCAGGGCAGTCAACTACTCAATCAATTCAACAAAAGCTGATGAGTCCTCAAGCACGCCACAGAAGCACGACCGAATGTGATCAGCGTTCAGGCATTTCTTAGAGGCACGATCGGTGTTGACGGGTGTTTACTAACGCCTATCAGACAGCCTGGACCAATGTCAGAAAGTCTCCTTTGAATAGAGTGGGGCCGCTGTAACTTTTGCACTCGCACGCACTCACGCTCTCGCACTCGCTTGTTCGGAATAGGGGGATTGTGTTCCTTTCTGTGAGTCTTTTTTCTCCGGCACTATGCACTGGAGCGGGTTAGCAGCAGATACCACAGGCCGGCGAAATCAGCAGATTAACAGAAAGCTTCAAGCTTGTCTCCCAAACGGGAGCAAACTTTGCTGGCCCCGACGGTGTACCCTTTTGGGAGTTAATACTGTGCAGGCGTTGCCTCACAACCGTTTGACCCACCGGATCGGTTTTTACCCACCCCAACGACTTCAAGGATAAGAATTAAAATTTTCAGTAGGCACAAGTTTGCACATTTTGTTCGTCTCAATTTGTGTGCATCTAGGTGTATATACACTTTGGGGCTCTTATACAGCAAAGCTAAAGCAAGAACCAGCGCATCAGAGCGTACATACGTCACGTGATTTTCACTCATCACATGGTCGTTAGCAGCTGAGGATTTTGGGTCATGAACAAACGCAACACAGCTGCGTCGAGTTGACAGTGGAAATAAGTACGGTGACTGTGGGAAAAAGAACGACTTGTCTGGTCTGTTCCAATGACAACCCAAGGGGTACTGGTCGATTTATACGGCATTTTTTAATTATAGGTCGGCCGGAATGTACAGGGACATTGCACTTTTGTGGTGACGGTGCTTGAATAGACTGACACACAGAGCTCCCTGAAAGTCTTGTCAAGACGGAAGAGGGGTGGTTAAACAAACATCGGCGAATGATGGACACAAAGAGTAGGCATTGTTTCAAAGATTCTCTAAAATAATGGTTGATAGATGGATAAAAACTAAGTAACTAACTCATAGTTAAGAGAACAACGTGCAACAGCGAGTGGTCCGGTGAACTTTGGCACACACCCACCCAAAAAAAGTATACGGAAGCGGGATAAATGTGAGGAAAAGTAAAATGTATGAGAGAAATGCATTGAGAAGTTTGCATTTAAATGATTAAAAAACATCAGAACATGAAGAAGCAAATAAGTTCTTTTCGAAACAACAGTAGAAAGGTTGATCACAAGAAGGGGACAAGACTTGGTGAATGAGATTACCTACCTATGGTGTGAGCGATCTTTTTCATATGAAGGATAGGGCGATGCATAGGATTTAGCGCATGTTGGCAAAGGCAATGCTGCCCATGCGCTGTTGCTGCGTGGCCTTCCGCCATTTTCGGGCATCCCAATTGGGATGGGATCCACATGAGAAGCCTGGGGTAACTTTTGTGGTGTAGACAACGAGAAACACGATCCACTTTGAACTACAGCCGGAAGGATGTGGTTGTCAACAGAATAGTTTGGCGGTTCCGCCAAAGATCGTGGCTGGCGGACGCGCAATGCCTCCGGAGGCCTGGGATGAAGGAACAAGGCTGCTGGTTGGCTCGGCAAATCTAGAGCCTGAGACGATGGGGAGCTAATAGATGGGAATTGTGCTGCGGACACAGCTGACCGATACTCAAGTGGGTGGTTCACACTCGGAACAGAAACAGCGGGACCAGTGGCATCGAATCGGTGCAAACCGGCGGATGGAGCACTGTAGACACTGACAAAACTGTCCGCGGGAGTTGGATTCAAGTAGCACCCGACTGAGAGCAGACGTTGTCTTCCAGAGTCCTTTCGTTGAACCAGACAAGAGTCACGCGACTGGATATCGAAATCTTGTTGTTGTTGTTGTTGTTCCAGCTCACCAGTCGATGCAACAAAGAGCAACCGAGGTGGCTGTATGGACGTGGCGTGACAACCTCCCAGCTGAGCGGAGTCTTTGAGTTCCCGTCTGATGGAATCGTCAAGGTCTAGTAACGAGACAGTCGATGTGACCACCATTTCTCTGCTGTTCGCGAAATCATCGCGCTTCTTTTGAGGAAGCTGGACAACACGATGAAGTGGATCAGGTGGAATTGCGGATGCGGGTGTGAGGGTGACGACAGGGAGCACTGTTGGTCCCAGGAACCATTCAGCCCGGCGGGATAAGTTTTCCATTTGTCTCCGACGGAGGGATCGATAGCGGCTTTGGTTTCTTCGAAGCGTAGGTACGCACTTCTCGACAATTATCTCTGGTCCTCGACTCGGCAAGTCTTTTTCTGTGTTCACGGTGCCATCCTGATTCAGGACGAAGAGAAGTTAAAGTTTTGGTTACTCATGAGTAGAGAAAATTCAATACCAAAATAGCAAGCTGACTTCCATACACAGGGGCTTCGGTTCCAAATATATACAGAACCACAACAAAAGTCCACCAGGTTTTTGGACAGAGGCAAAGCAGAACCGATTAACGCCGCCAACTGCTGGTCACCCAACACAGAAAAAAGGACCGTCGAAATAACAAAAGAAACGACTTGTTCGGTTGTTGATTATTTAAAGACCAGAGGATTTCGAGAAGCACAGGATTTATTCGGACGAATCGGAAGGAAACCGATACGCATTTATCCAATTTGAGTAGGAGTGGCACAACACCAGTAGTATAGTATATGATACCTGGTATGCAAGAGAAAAGAATGCAAGCGGCGCACAAAGCAAGTTTGCCAAAAAAGCAGTGACCTTGGCAACACAAGAGCTTAGCTCACGGTCGACAGTCAAGTCAGAGGTAGCTCAAGTCGTAAAGTGATCCACAAACTTCGAATCCTGCTGCGCGCAAGGCTGTCTGGGATTCTGTCTGGCGCGAGCTGGTGCACAAGGAAAGTTTTCTTCGAGTTGATACCCCCATGCATCAGCAGTCAGAAACTTTTCAGCTACGAATAACCCAAACATTCAAAGGCTAATTCAGCACCAGGAGGGATCAACCTCACCAGCTCATCCAGCGTTAGAAAAATGAGTTAATTGTGGCCTGAATAAAGACACCTGTGTGATCGATACAACGTGAGTTAACAAAGGGACTGGCAAGCAAAGGTCACTAACGTAGCTCTACGCGCCTATACACGAAGAAAACTGGCGAAATGGATGATAACTATTCCACACGCAACAGTAGATGTGAAAACGTGAACGGGACAGATTACAGAGCATTAAAAAGGCGTCGAGTGACAAAAAACGAAGCAAGCCCCGGCTTGAAAAATAAACGTTTTGGACTTCAAATCCTTAGAGTCGGTAAATTGGTCAACATTGCTGGGTTTGCTTCAAACAGACAATCCTCTATCATTTCCTGGGAGTAACGGGCTGAGGGAAAGACAACATAGTTGTGGGTTTTGCTTGGCTTAGTATGTACCTCGGAATTTGTTGACCACTCGTCAAACTTGTGCTCTGAATAGGGTCTGATAATTGCCAAGCTATGGACTGAACGTTTCTAATAGATGTTCATCATAAGGCAGAAGTGGGACTGTGTACTAGGTGTTTCGACCTGACTGGAACTCACGCGGCAGGATTCCATCATCTGATGTTCAGTACCGCTATATTCACCTGATGAGTTCCACTCAGGACGGAACATGTAACGCAATGACTTCCCGGGAATCATAATCAGTTGCAAGGATAGAAAGCTTGGTGATCACCGGCCCTTCCTAGAGAGTCGTAAAAAAGCTAGGGGCAATCATCTGACTACTTGACCATTCGTAGATGGATTCCCAACAAATCAAGATGTATAGGATGCATTTGAATTCGTCCAGACTGCGTGCATAGCTGAGGACGGCGTGACAGCTCAATGATGTTGGGGTTTAAACTGTGGACTTCGACCGAACCCAGCTACATGATCCGAACGAAACCCGCATCAACCTGTTCTTCAAAGACCGGACATCCCTGAACAACAACGTGCTTCTCAAGGGAGCTGTAAACGCTGGTCGTGTCGACATGTGATCATGTTTACTGGAACAACATTAGTACGAAAGTACGGATGGATGTGACCTCGAAAATTCATGCAGTACCCAGTTCTATGCAGGGCAGGAAGTATTCTTTCGAATCTGTCTATTAATCTATGCGATTAAAAAGAAACTTCCCCATTACCGTTGATCTTCTGAAGGATCTCCGCGCTCTTGTCAACTCTAAGAGCACACTCAACACCGGATTTTTCAAAAAACGATGCAGCTAGTTGGAAAGATAGTCGGTACAGCAGCCTTGCCGGACCTATCGGAGAAAATGGGCTGTCTCACGAATTCGGTGTGAAGTTCTATTGGATGGGTGTAGAAGTTGACGGGATTCAACTTCTCAGAGTCGGATGAGAACAGATAATCAAACTGACCAGCGCGCCGTTCTAACGTTAGGTAAAAAAAAAAAACTGAACCAATGGAGTTACCGTAGGCGCATAGGTCAAAAAATTTCCCAAGCAATTTCACCGTTATTCGGCGACTGAATCGTCGTTTTTTGTTCCGTACTGTTTGTATCCATGATGAGTCCATATCGCGCCGCTCAGCGCATCACCAATATCTTTGTTTAAACAGTTGGCATTATCAGTTCAGCTGTGTCGCTTCGTCCGCCCACAACCAACAAGCTTCGACACGCGCGTTACCATGGGTAACAATTGAATAGCGGTCAAATTGCAGAGAACTGAGGATACCAATTGGGATAGTGCGTGCGAGAAGTGATTGGTTTTAGTCTCCGTCAGTGACCCTCGTAACTACTAGTCTTGACTACCGAATCGTCGAACCAATAGACTCGCTAGGTGGCTCGCACCGCTCCCATTGTAAGTCTGTGGGATATCTTAACGTAGCATGGGTGTTACCACATGTGTGATCGTACGTACAAGCCCTTGGGTGTTGGCGACTGGCTGACAGTCAGACTGTGGCACGGAAGTTAACCGATGTTTTGTCTGGAAGAACAAAAGTCGTATAGGCCAACACGACGGACAGCATCAGCTGTAAAAATAAAGACAGGAAAGAGGATTGTACGCACGACTGCGTGGCCTCCCAAAAACGAGGACAACATCAACATCAATAGAATGACTGGGTTTTCACAAGAACTAATCAATTGTCTCTTGCAGAACGCTTAGCCGAGGGTAGTAAAGCGGAACCCTTGAGCTTGTTTCCTAAACCGGCTACAATAAACCATACATACTAGTATTAAGTAGCCTGGAAATGATAACAAGTCTTGTTGCTACGTCACTCAATCACGGACGTGATCGCACAACTGAGGTTTGCTTAATATTCGTTCAGTTGTAACACCCTTCCGGTGCCTAGCTGCTATGCCACCCGGAGGAAGCACGAGGGCTGAGATACTGCCAGGTCGCCCAGGCCTAGACAGGGGAAGTCGAGTGGCAGAGGTAGGATTCGAACCACGGACCTTCCGGTCAGCAAATTCGCGCTCTAACCACTTGGGTCATCTCACCTTAATCTACTCGTATCTCACTCTCTACGGGTCAGTATCGTTCGTAGAAAATATCTGTATTATGTCAAGATGTCCTGATATTTTCCACCACGTGCTTCAGGTGACCCAACAGGAACTCTGAACTATTTCGACCAAGATCTAACCAGGTCTCGATATCGATTCCGAAGTCGTGGAAGAACCTTCACATTTCTATCGAGGCACGTCAAGCTTCTCATCCAACCATCCACCATCGAAACATCGAACGTTGTCTAAATGAAGATGATGATGTAGTCTAGTGGATAGATTTGTTTTGCTTCTATCTTAAACATGAGGGACGAAAGCAAAAAAACGGTGAAAATTCTACCGAAAAGACCGGTCGGATTTAAGTCAACAACTGTTCAGCAACCGATAGAAGATAGGAAGTGAGCGAAGGCAGTTCGAAAGGTTGTCGGAAAGATGACCATACGTATTTAGAGACCAAATACCATTGTCACTCCGTGCAGTGTGATGCTCGAGATGGCTCAGGGGTTACGACACAAACTTGTAGACTGGATGGTCCATGGTTGGAGTTTAACACCGGCACCTTGACCGCTCCTATCTCGACTTGCACTTACATCGGGTGGTATGGCAACTAGACACCAAAAGGATGTTACAGCCGAACGACTGTTTATTGTTGGTGTAGTTTATCTGCCAAGCAGGAAGGCACCTCGGAAGCACTAATGCATGCAGACTGTGTTCTTCGTGGTCATCCTCGTTTTGACCCCACTACTTATCGATTGCACAAACGTATAATTTGTTTTTCGCCTTCTACTTTCGACGGTTAGGCCAAAGAGATTCATAGTGCTGGATGTTGAATAAAGAGATAGCGGGGAATATCAATGCAAGCGGCGAGACTAGAACGGGGACTAATCGACTGAACATGTGTGCATGCACGCACATGTGGTTGTCCTCAGAAATCCGGGTCAAACAGCGGTACACACACACGCCGCGCTATTCACACTTCAATAAACAAGAAACATTGATTGCGAACGAACCACCTCTTAGTGGCAGTGAAACAAACAGCAACCTCAGGTGGTGATTGAAAGGTGTTGTGACATTTGCCGGACGGTAGGTAATCAGGTTGACCGGACGTGAGAAGGGGTGGGTGGGATCAAATAACACTACAAACACAAGTTACTAATGAGCAAGCTCAACAACAACGACAACATAAAGGAGGCAAAACGGAAGTAAACAAAACAGCGAGCAAACAAACTACACATGCCAGAAAGCCACCATCACACTCGGTGGAGAGAGCAGTCCACACGCTCGTAATTAATTAGCTAATCAGCCACCAGCTTTGTTCCTCGGTATGTGAGGCCAATCACGGAACTGAACTCGTGAAGTTCGGTCGAACAATACCATCTGAGTGTGAGTTCACTGATTTCCAACAACAGGGTTACCCCCATTCACGTTAAATCCACTCAAATTTCCGATGATCAAGAGTCCCCGATTGGACCACCTTGTGACCACGTCAAGACAAGCGGTGTGCGATGTGGCATGTGATGCGAACAGGAATGTAGCGGGATTTGTCCACGAGCGTTGTGCTACATGGAGAGGCGTGACCAGCTAGAATCAGGCGCAATTAAAATGCACCATAAGATGCGCAAAAAGCTGACGCCACGGAGCACTTGAGTAGTGGTGTCAGTGACTTGCATCTACATTGAGTAATGATGGGAAGGACGAGTTTCCAAGGTAAAAGGGCGACTGAAGGCAAGTCCCCACTGGTCAAGATCCAATAATTTCCAATCGTGTGCACAACTGCGTGAAGGCGGAACACACAAGTGAAAAAAACGCTGTCACAAATACCCGGCATATTTGGTGAATTCACCGATTAGCTGATTTTGATGTAACTCGAGGATCTGGCATCCGTTTTGATTATGTGCTTGCGAAGATATGCTAGTACGGAAAAACGAGGATCTATCTGCACTGGAATGGGAAAGTGGATGTAACTTACGATGAACAGCTGTGATAATTGTACAGCTGGCTATTGCTGTTCTTTTCGCCGAGCTTGCAAAATGAATTGAAAACGTTTCGTCACCATACGAGGAGACCCCGTCAGACCCCGTCTTATTTGACCTAGTCGAATCAGGAGGAATAGTCTCCCATGCAGAAAAAAAACATCCGATCTCACACGCCTACGCCTACCTACTTTGGAGTAGGTTGGTTCTGATTTCGATAGCCTACGTACTTTAGTTCTGTGACGCAACTCAAAATGATTTTCGACAAACTTTGAGGTACAGTTGATATAGTTATCGAGATAGCCTGCTTTTGTCCAATTACGTAGGACTTTCCAAATTAGGACCAACTAATCCTGAAGCCGTATCATGTACGATTTTGACGAACGGCACTGTCCACTTTGATCTGAACTATGCTCACTGCACTAAGTCGGATACAGACTATCTGAGGCGGACATCATTGCTAAACCACTAGCTTGAGTTCACAAGTTAGTTAGTTGGTTAGACGCCACTTGTCAGTCAGTTGCCTCAATGTTCTTCGACAGATTGAATAATTCGCTTGTGTGTACGTCAACGGTGAATGTGTACGCAGTTTGTGAGGTGAGAGATCTTGTACTGGTATTTGGTGAAACCGCTCTGCTCTGACAAAACCGGTCGCTCCACAAAAGAGTGCAAGTTATGGGTAGTGTTGAGGCCTGGTGTTGGTCGTAAAACTAACCTTTATCCTTTCACTTTTAATAGGAAAAGCTAACCATTTCTTTCCAGTAATTATCATCAAAAACTGAGACCAGGAAGACCGAGAGTTTAAAGGACTAGCCAAAAGGTGGGCTACTATAGAGGAGTAACTCTGTTAGGGGGTTTAACTCCAATTTGGAGTTATATCATATGAAGTATACGGCACTTGACTATTTTCTGCGCAGATATTGGTTACATGTGTTGCCTTCCGTACTAGACTCCGCTTCATGAAGTTTCTTTTCTGGTAAACAAACAAACAAACAAAGCTCTTCAACAGGTTAGCTCTGCACGGACTGTGACCTCATTATATTCCCGAAAAAAAACTAATTATCATGCCGCCGCCGCCTCCGAGATCATTTGTTTGCCTTGACAACCGTTTAGAAAGGGCGACCGGTAGGGACTGAATTTTAGAAACACCGGTGTTTATACACCAGACGTTGTGGTTATCCCGAAAGGAGAAAAAAACTTCCGTCCTGCAGACGACCAATCGTGCACCTGTCTTAACTCCAGGCTGGCGATGGCGACACCGTTTTTCTCCCAATTGTTTTCTCTTAGACAACCTCGTTGGCGTTCGACAAGTGGCAACAAACCTGCTTGTGAATCGCGATAGAAGTCGGGGTTGCAATCTATGACGTTCAGACACCAATGCATAGATAACGAGGTCAGAAGAAGAGAGTGACTCACTTGACGCGTTCCGCAGCAGAACCGCCAGTGTGAATCACTCTGCGCTGGTGTTCGGACAGCGTTGCATGCATTTCGAAGCGAGCGGATAACGTGCACAAACATGCATGTATGCGGGTGGTCGGTCGAACGGACTGCACGAAAGCCATTAGTGTGAGTTATGTGACTGACCAAACGCAAAGAAGCAGCTGCGGTCTGCCGTTCCGCAGCGCATTACAGAAGATTCGTAATCCGCCTACGATTGTGGTGCCTCCCAACCCGTACAAGGATATTACACGACTGGAAGAGAACGCTTACTACTTGTGCGAATTTCGCCAGATTCCAGCATGCTGAAGACATAATTGTGAACTCGCCCGACATCGATCTGAGTGGGGAGACCTCAGAGCATTTGTGATACGAATGAATCAAATATTCGTGTTCCGCTTCATTTTGAAACTTGCCACAGAGGACCCGATTGATTGTCCCAATCCAGCATTCTCTACTCACATCGACTGGTTACGACTTACTGTTACGTCGTACTCAGATACTTAGCCATATCACTACACCCTGCGCGCAGGAGCTCGACCTGAGACATGCATCGAGAGCCTGAAACACAAATAGGTCATACATGACAGGCCGATGGCTGCGTGCTTTTCAACAAACGTTCAAGTGGCACTCGAGCTCTATCGACCCAATTCAGTAGGGGGACTATCCAAATTAGCAAGATATCCGAACTTGACTCCTGCGGTTGCTTGGAGTATCAATGAATATGGTGTTCGCGCTCGGTAGCTCGCTCACCTGGGTACATTTTGTTTTATAGCCTTGGAGTGTCTTTCTGCCACGAAACGTCAACTGAAAAAGTTAAGACGGGTGGCACAAACGGAACTTGTATGATAACCCGCGTTGGAACGATCAATTGGACAATACCCCGAGGTCTGGTGTGGCAACAGAACCTCGGTTAAGCAGTAGACCAAAGTAAACGACTGGATATATGTCCCAATATCCGTGGAAACGTATAACCCACTTTCATGGGGAACAGTGTAATAGCTACGGTTCTATCTATAAGGGATGCATCAACCCACTGACCCCAAGTGGTCTTTGCTGTTCTCGCAGGCTGAAGCTTTGAACGCCTCGGTGGCACAGCTTAGCGGTGTCTTCTTTTAGCGACGTTGCTGCACTCTTTAGGTTTGGGTATAATGAGTTGAGTAAATCAACTAGGATATGCGAACTGAGTATGGGAATAGAAGTTGAATAGTCATATGCCAGCTAAGAGGGAAAAGTAATCAACAAGCTCTGTCATTAGTGCAAAATGCAGGATTCACGGAATCCAAATACATTTCAAAGAACAGTTGAGTTCGCAAACTCCCGAGTAACCTGGTAACCAAACCATTCGGACCGCTTCGGGTCGGTACCAGTTCCTTTTCCCACTACCGACGAGGAAATGCGAAAAAGGAAAACGTCACTAAATACCGTGAAAACACGGGCATTGCGCCGTCTAATAGATGTAGCGATTGAGATGATGGTGTCTGCTAAGACCGAAGTCTAATTACCACATCCACATGTAAAAAAAGTTACACGCTACTTTAGTTCCGACAAAACTAGTAACAGGTGGGGGTGGGGCGGGGAATTACAAACTTCAGCAAAGCAGACTTTTCTTGGCAGAACAAACTACTTACAGGGTTAGTGAAAATTTATCTAGCTGTTTTTGGCAACCTTGTTCCATAAAAAAATACGTTGTGATATCCCGAATTTTGCATCAGCTGAAAGATGAAGCGATCTTTGTGCGGTACATTCTGTCGAAGGATAGTATAAGCGAGAGATTTAGCCGGGATTCAGTTGAATCTTCCGTGAACACTAATTCGATTTCCAACTGAGTATATTTTGGTAATAGTGGAAAGGCATTGCTGCCTTCATTACGGTTCTCTTTCATTGAGACAGTTCATTCAGTCTGTATTTGGAGACTTGAGCAAGGAACAAGATTATTTCTACTCATAAGGTTGCTGAAAATTCTTCGACAGCCCACGACCGGTTTCGCCCTTCTTGAGGCTCAGGAGGTAGGCGCAGTCCCCGAGTTTCCGTCAACTGAAACGTTAGGCGGCCTGGTACAGCACATCCAGTGGCCTAGAAACATTACAAACGAGGTATTCAGCTGGGTTCAAGATGAGTCTTCGGAAAAAAAAACAAATTAGTTTGCAAATGAGTGCATTTCGCTCATTTCGTGCAATCTGGTTGACGGACGCTCTGGGATTGCGCCAACCTGATGAGCCCCGGAAGTGCGAAACCAGTTGTGGGCTGTCGACGGATTTTCAGCAACATTATTAGTAGTGCATTACGAATGAACATGTATCGCGATACCTCGAAAATCGTAGCGATTGAAACATGAGGCGGCCTGGATCAGCACATTCAGTTTCCTGAAAAACATCACAAACAAAAAATCAACTGGGTTCCAAGTGAGTCTCTTGTAAAACCAATTTGTTTGCAGCGGACATATCGAAGATAGTCTTTGTATAGGAACGCAAGTAAAGCACAAAGTGGAACAACAGATTTCAACACGCAAACAGAAGTTCTAGGGAGCAAACCGAAATATCAGAAAAAAGTGGAGGTCAAGCCAAATCAGCATGTGGACCCGCGTGGTGAACAGGTGGTTCGCCCATGAGGAATTCGACAAATCCCGAGACAGATTCCAAGTGAAGTGATCGCCCCTGAGCTACTGTGCAACATGGGCATATCAACTTAGATTGGACAAACACATGGTTTTACAGTCGGGGGGGGATGTCGATTCTACAACCTTGAGGGAGCTTTGGGTGTGGGCAAAGTAGTGCTGACAGTGGGTTTTCACATGTGCAGACCTCGATGACGTCTCGAATATCAGCTCGTGTGTTAGGAAGGCAATGGTTCTTGAAGGACCGGGAGGTATGATTGCGTTTTACGCTCGATGTAAACCAGAGGACGCACTAACAACATGTTCCCACGCAGGGGAAAACAAGTGTAAGATGGAATAATATGTATTGATCTTTCACACGAGAACCATCTAACCTAGGGTGCAACGTCATCAGAGTACCCCGCAGGGCTATACTGAAGCTTGGACGAAAGGAACTTGGTGGGCGTGAACCGGCAGCAATTGATGGAAACCTTAAATTTCTTTGCAGGGATGTATCAAAGAAATTAATTTCGCCTTGACATACCAGCCGACAATTTCCCGTGACCAGGTGTACAAGGAAAACTGGCAGTCTTTTAACCTGTGAAGGGGCAAAGATACTGTATGTTCGTGGGTGGCTAGGAGTAATGCGATTCTACCCAACACTTACCTAAAAAACAGGTGAACCTAGGAAAAATACAACACCGACCATTGTAAGCACGATCGATCGACCGATACAAAACGTCACTGACACGAACGGTTCAGAAAAACGCTATTTCGGGAAGTAAAATACTCAAAGTAGGGAGCCGAACAAGTATTAGTTTGGGTGTGCTGTCGCGAAGGGACGTCAAGATACGACTTCACCTTGCTGGTCAAAAAACAAGAAATGTAGAGAATACACACGCGCCATAATATGGTGTTTTGGTGAATAGCAGTACCCAACTATCACGACCAATCAGAATGTGGCATCAAAGGGAAGCTAACACGCTACTATGTTGACTGAAGTTCTAAGGATACAAAAAGTAATTTGTTTGTTAACCGTGTGATCTGGTTTGTCGGATATTGTCCTCGTTCCATCAAAGCTTTCTTTCCCTCCAACTTGGTTCCCAATTTTTGATGATGTAAACGAGGCTTCTTTCATCACTTTTGGTGATATGCGCCCTACGCCACCTATTAATCGAATTTGCGTACTACGATTAGGATAAATAGCCTAATTTAAGCGATACACATGTATTTATTGCGAAATGAAGAGTTTTCAGCAACCCCATGAGTAGTGTATTGTGTCTATTCAATGATTACTACTGAGTTTTTCCCAACGTGGCTACATTGCCTGGTCCGACCGTGTATGCCCGATAAAAGGATATTCTTCAGCTAACATCCGAAGACAACACTTTACTATAGTCACGCTACCTGATGATGCTGGCTTCTTGAGTAGTGGCTTCGCAAGAGATCCAGGTAACTCGTGGGATTCCCGCTATTCACGAACAAAAAAGTTCAAACCTGAGTTCTGCCATGAAAGCTAAACGAACCTACGTTGAGAAGCTGAGAATGACTGTCGTTGGGCACATCACAAGAAGACATGGGGACCGGTAAATTCAGGAATTCGCCTGCGGGAGGCTGATCATCTGTGTGACCAGCTTGCACTTGGGATGAGTGTCAAAGTAGTTGTACTGCTTAGCAGCTAACCGCAGGTTGTTCGAAACGCCCAGCGGATTCGTGAAATGTGTACTGTCAACAACCTTCAACAGGAATGAACGATTTTTTGCGAACGAAAGATCAGTGCCTCGAGATTGATGGAAATCCAGCTATAGCATACAAAAGGTCACGTCGGATATATGACCAAAACGTGGGCTTGTCTCATCGATCGACCAGCATCAAAATGGTCTACTTCGGTTTCATCAAACTGAATCGGAGAAATCTCGATATAAATGCGCGGTATCCAACACCCTGTGCAAAAGTTTCGAACATGTGCGTCTACAGCCGACCACAGTCTGCCTACATACGTCAGTCACTCACTCATCTGGCCATATGTAGATCGTCCGAAAAAAAACTTCCAGGACAGATAACCAACCGGCAGCTAAACCGTACAAACTGAGTTTGCTGGCAAGTGCACAAACGGGTGCAAAATTCGAAATGGACATGTGCAAAACACACAAGCAGAAAAACGCAAAAGGCTAATTAATATCAAGGTCAGGCAAACGCACACACCGCATACACAGACGGCCCCGAAGCAGACGAATATGGTCGGAGCCGCGAACATGCAGTGCGGACAGGACTGACACTACATACACAAACAGGGATAGTGGGTCTGCGCGTCAAGACAAACTCGGTCGGTAACCTGACCGTCAATTTGGTGGTGGGGGGGGGGGGGCGGTAGCGGTGGTATTTAACGGGAAACCAGCAAAACAGTTGATTTATTGTGCATAGTGATGGCTGACGAAACCATGTAGACTGAACAAATGGGGGCAGCAGAGTGGAAAAGGGTAAATAGTGATAAATCGCCAGAAGAACAAGGAAACGCGTTGTTTGATGGGGAGGCAAGGTTGATTGCACAGGGGCAAAAAAGCAACAGAAACAAAACCGTTGCGAGTTTGCGGAACTTGACAGAAACAAATCAACGGTAGATAAGTGATCTTCGTGACGCAGTCACCTCGTGCCATCTGGAAACACCGGAGCATGACTGCATAAAGAAACATGGGTCAATTTTGGCCTTCTCTTATTGTATTCCAAACATCATTCCTTATGACCAATGTCCTGAGTACAAGGTGAACTCCGTTCGACGCGGAAATTACACTAAACCCTGACTGACCGAGAACGCTGTTCTGTGTACTTTCCATAGGGGGTAGACATTTCTCGGGGTATCCCTGTTGAGGGGTGTGTGTGACTTATGCTGTTTCACGCCACTCTGTGAGCCAGTGTCTTCTGGTTTAACTGCCCACAAAACGTAAGCAAACTGAAGAGAGAAATGGGCTCAAAAATAATTGGGAACCACTATCCTAAACCAAAGAGAAGTGACACTATATTATGTTTGACCGACAAAGCAATAAGAACTTGCACAAAAAGTAACCGCCCACTGTGAAGAAGTGTTCGGATATACAACGAGAAACAAGAAAAACAACAAGAGAATAAGGTCAATCAGAACGGCTGCCCGGTGCGCTTTTTACATAGAACCGCAGGGTCGGTAACAATGCGACCAGAACGTTGTCAGTTAAGGATAAATCTGATATTCTCTAATTCAAACGTAACTCCGTAGTAAAACTGATACTAGGGACCCCCGAACGGGTACCAAAGTGACCCGCTGAACAGCAAGTTTACCAATAAAATTAAAACCTTCTGATGCGATCTACAACTAGATTGTGTGTGGCCATTCGAACGACTTTTAAAGACGTCATATGCTAACCGTACAACGAAAAACGGTGAACATCATTACCAGGTTTCACCGACTTGGGAATTCATAAACTCATAACTCGATCAGGGCCTCTGATCATTTTTAATTACACTGTCCTGCTAACGGAGGTGTTTTGCAGTCAGGCAATCAATGTGTAGTCGAATTCGACTGCCTTACGTTTCCGAGATGACATTTATTCGACCGTTCGAAGCTACCCTGTTGTATGAAAACAATTCGTACAGAGCAAACATGAACCAGCCCCAATTATGCAATGGTTGACAGCGAATTTTGTGTTCTTCCAACCTGATTTGGATGGGGATTGTGCAACCGACTGTCAAACGTTGTACTTTTTCCCCACTTGTTAACCTTTATCCACCTTTGCAATGTCCCACGCATTTCATCTTACGGGGCATTTCCGAACGACCATCGTCGAAAGTCTAGTGACAGCTATGGACGTTCCACTGAAACAGACAGGGATAAGACCGGAAAACACTCCTCAGAGACACAACACCGGAATTCTGAATTGGTTTCACCTTATATCTGACTCGCGAACATGTTCGGCTTGGTCACGCACCGGTACAATAGCATGTTTCGATAACAAATTATGCAGACAAAACATTGGGTCGGACAGTCACATCAGAAATTGTTTCATTAGCTGAGCCGAAATAGAAAATCACTGTTTGCGTGAGTACAAATTACATGTGCGAACAGGAAATATCTAGCGAGATTCTGTCTCAAACATCTAATTTGTCGCGAGGAGAGCACCAGAACGAGGTTAAGTCCATTCCACATGGGAAACTAACTACACCAGCCAGGTGTTTTTGGTAAATACCGAGCTGTAGCGGTCTTAATTATCGCTCATCAGTAACACTTTCGGTGCACAGCTGTCATGTGCCTTGAAGGAAACACCAGAGTCCTTAATGGCACGCCTGACAAAATTTTACAAACGCTTTCTGAGTCCATTCTTATAGGAATTGTTAAAAATGTTGCAGGAGCTTGATACAGAAGTGCACTTGCAATCCGTGATTCAGACCGTGGTCACGTGGGAATTTGTTGCAATCGTCGACTGTAAGGGTATTTTTTGGGAAATTTTGGGAAAATTCCGATCACTGACTGTCGAAAACGGTCACGTGTGCTATTCTGTTTGGACAATGTTTTGGGAAAAAGTTAGATACCAGGCACAAGATAGAAGAGGGCGATGTTGGACATTTGTACAAAGGGTGTTGCTGGCAAATTTCAAACAATAAGGCGTATTTGTAAACGAGATTTTGTCCTGCCAGGGAATGCTCAAAAAAAGGGGAAAGCACTGACACGAAATTCCACAACGTGTCGAATCCGCTACATCCTGACTAATAGTTAAGGACTAAACTGTTTGACCACGAGCGTCTGATTAATTCGCACTTAGACAAAGCCACCCATTCACCGCATGTTGACAGACTCCTCAAGTGACAACTTCTCCGATGAAAGTTTCACTCATTGAGTTGATCAACTGTTCGTAGCCAGACGGTTGAGTGTCCAACTATTAGTTTCGAGGTCGGCGGTTCAATGCTACCTGAAGTTTTGCGTGGTGTGCACTGCTGACAATTCTCAGCAGGGATGAAACAGCTATACAGTGCTTCTTTCACCATGGAGTGGCTTCAACCGCAGGACGAAATCTCAACAAATGTTGTGACGCAGTGACCACAGAGCCAAGCTTTCAACAGATGCGCGTTGCTGACGTTGTGTTTTGTCGTCGCTGTGATAATAAAACGATTAATTAAAACACTATGGTGGAAAAAACAAAAACAACACTACTCCCACCCGAAGTTGGTGGCTAGTTCTCAAGACTATCCAACCATGGGTGGCACTTGGGAACGCTTTGGCCGTCTATGCCCAGTAAACACGAGGAAATCCCACACTACTACTTCAGATTAAAGTGGTCAGAAGTGATCGCAGCTAGTCGCAACAATATCATTCTGTTCGGCATGTTGTTGAGCTTGCAGACCACAGGGGAAAGAGAAACTTTGTATACCTGTTGCAAGTTTGTGACAGAGAGCATGTACGATGAGAGTGATGTGTACTGAAGCAATCAATTTATTAGAGCATCCGAAACCCAATAGGGCCCATCGATGCTTGTTGAGGTCATGAACAAGACCGTAGTGACAGAACGAAGCATCGCCATTCATCACTTGGCCAGTCACTGTGTAAGCGGAGGACTGAGAGAAATGGAGAGAGAAAAACGATCTTCCAGATGTCTTTCGGTGTCTAGGGACCATGCAATCTGCTCAGAGTTATACAAGAGCAGTCGAAATGCGGGGGTTGGGGTCGAACCATGGACTTTCCGGTGGATAACTTCAAGCCTTAATTACTAAGCTATTTGGAGAGAAATAGAACTCGTAAAGAGAACAAGTTCCTCTTCGGTACAAGACATGCCGAAGGAGCAATGCGTTACCAGATCTTATGGAGGTTGTACGCTGACTGAGGAGAGTATGGAACAAAAACCAGAGCCATTGGGGATGAAAACACTCAGTATGGTCGGAGTGCAGATCTGCCAATAGCAAATCCGCTCGGTTGGAAAATGGCCAAACCTAGTGTCGGACAATCTACTGCATGCCGCGAACGCCATCCATGAGTGAGAGTTACGTCCTAGCATGGGTAAAACGAACCGGTTAAACCGAGGAGGATCGATAGCAGCAACTGACGGGGTGGAATTCAATCTGTTAGCCGTGGCGAGCAACGAGTAATTCGAATTCGCCGCAGCCAACGCAAAGAACACTGGCTTATCTCTTCACCGAAAAGTCCACAATTGCTAACAAAGTCCCGAATATGGTGGGCCTATAATTGAGTCTAGAAAAGAGGCAACGTCTGGGCGGTCAAATCCGCCAGTGTTTGCTGCGTTTCAAGCCTTAAATTAAGGCTAAATTAACCAAGGTCGTAGGGGCGTTCGCTAATAGGTACAACAAATTTGAGGGTTTTCCCGTTCGATAACTTGCGCTTCAGTGCATTCCATGGGAGATAATCGAACTGAATAAATTGTTGTGCGTTTGATACACTGTATGACGCGCGATATACTGGTCAAAAAAGTACATTATCATTATTATTATTTATACAGATGATGCATCAGGAAGACCACTACGTCACTAGATGAAAATGGAACCTGGAGTAGGCAACAAACAATCCATTGCTTGGAACGACGATTAATCACATTGGAAAAAGACAACGTTTGTGGTCATTAGGCTTGCATCCACTGGTCATCCGTTCAGCCTCGTACTCACCGCAAAGTGCTCAGGTCAAGGTTTTTGCTTTCTCGTTAGGTGTAGCTATCAATGGAGGAGGTCTGTGAGATCAGAAACGTGACGAGTTTGCGCACACAAGAGAATATTCCGGAAACTCCAAAACAAATCGGCTAATTCATTCCTCAGTAGAAAAAAAACATACCAAAGGTGTGTTCGCCTGACGCACTATTTTATCTAGGCAACTTCTACCGGAGGACATCCATAGGGTTAAATTTGGAGAAGCACACAATAGGCGAGCAGTTCTGTTTTGATGCGGCGGTTACAACGGCAAGACAGCGCCAAGCTGCAGTTCTGAACGCTGAGTCCTTTGGCATTACAATTACACGTCATTCATCTCGAGGGAGCTTGAGATAGCCAATAGCTTAGGGCATAAACTATGAGCCCAAAATTGTTTTTTTCGGTTGACTTCACTTCGCGACACATGATGTCGCGCAAGATACACACACTAAATCATCGAATCCCGCTATCTGTATCTATTTTGCCTCACCGCAACTGCTCGATTTGCATGCGATCAAGCAGCCCAAACAGGTAGAGCAAAGTGGGAGTGTCAAGACAATTAGTCGATATTCCCATACTACTTATAGGGGCCGAGAGATAGCTTTACACCAAGGTTCGCCCAATCATAATCTTGGCATCGGAGATTTGCTTCCCCGTCGACAGAGTCCACCGTCGCAGTGGGTACTGGAGTACGAAACAGAGGACCGCGTAGTGGTAAGTTTGCATTCCCGACAACTTAATTCACCGCATGACTGAGAGGCAACGGCCAGGTGTGTGAAAAGGTAGTTTATTTTTCGAATTCCACCAATAAAAACCAGTTGAACGGGTTTAAAACCTCCGTGATATGGAGGTTTTGTCTACACCGGTCGATTTCACCGGGACTCCTGTTTGATAAGCGTTCCAGGTGTCAGTTGACATCGTCAAGGAGAACCGGGACTGGATGAATCGAATCCATGCGTGTCCTCAAAGATGGGGGATCATTATGGAGCCCAGTATACACGTGTCTCACGTGCTAGCTCACTATGGTAACCTGACAAGGACATCTGACATGAGAAGTATGTGATGTTCTGTACAATATCACAAGCAATTTCTAGATCCCGTGAGTCAAGCCGTTCCTGTGTTCCCTTCTACATGTGCCTCAATGGAATCGGCCCGCACCCCTAATGCTTACATCCAACAGATAAAAAAACCTGTGAAAGTGTGAAAGTTCTCGAAATTATTGTTTACAGGTGCCATTTCATTGTTGTGGATAACTTTGCACCGTTCGAAACAGGATGTTGTTTTTCTCGCTATTTTGTTCGTTTTATGGCAGGTGCGTATAAAAATGTTTGTATATCGTGTTTTCCGAGAAATTTCGTGGGAATTAATTACATGGTTCAATGGTGGACTCACTCATCGTTTTTTTATTCTATCATCCTGGCGAAGGAGAAACAACTTTATGTTACCTCGGTTGACACGGCGGACCAATAACACATCATCATCATCATCATCAATGTCAGCTGTAATAACTGCGTACATGTCGTACAGTGGTTGTAGCTGCCACAATTTCGTTTACCGATTAGTTGGGTGTAGGTAGCTGCGCATTGGAGGTGGGAGCTGATAAATTGGTGCTCAAATACAGTAATGTCAGTGGACTGCTAAGTGCGGGAATTGGGAAGAGAGCCCTGCATTGGAGGCGATAGCTTGGATGCACGAGCACCATTGAGGACGCGACTGAACCACGCCTGACAATGTCTCTAACCATTGATGTGGCTCGTCTCTGTCATCTCTGTCACATAGACATAAATAAATATTGCTGTTTTCATGGTGAACAGAACCTTCTTTTTCTGGTTGTTTCGAAGCATCTGGGTTAGCTGCTCTCCTCAATACCAAGCCGCAAACTGCAACGAACGAGCTGGCAGAGGACCCTCTTCAAACATACGGTGGAATAAACTTCCTTTTTGAAGGGTCACCAGTTCAACAGCTTCCGTTGGTGTGTTTAAACTGGCCGCCGAGCTGAGATACTTGCACCTTTCAAGCTGTACTGACTTCAAGGTGTTTTCACCTTAAATCAAGAGACAAACAACCTAGTCTAACTTTCTATCCATTTGTGACATCTTCTGGTACTAGCTTATCCGAGGAGTTGAGTTCGAAATTTTGAAATGAATCTAATTCGTAGGAGAGTGCATCAACCGATAGTGAGTTATTCATTTTCCTTGTCTCCAGGATCCAGAACATTTACCACTCATCGAGAGGTGACGAACGCTGAGCAAGTGATTCTTTGCTGACTAAGCAACAGCAACCCTAGAGATTTTTCAACTTTATACGACGAGCTTTCTCAGGCCAGACCAAACGATCTGGACAGGCATTTAGAGGTCACATTCGCCCAACCTGAAACGCCCAAGCGAATTCACTATTCTACAAGGAGCAAGCCCGTCTTGTTTAATATGATGAACCGTGTTTTGTCCATTACCATTCTCTTAACGAGCACCATTTTGCGTGCCCAGTGGGTGCCCAGACAGTGAACGTGAAAAAGGCCACATTGTCGAAGTGAACCAATATGACGATTGAGAGGCCCCATGTACGTCGTTCGGGCAATCACGAACTCGACTGTATCTACTCAAGTCCCTATGCGCAGATGGGTGCATCTAATGAGAGCACGCCGATATGGAAAGGCACAGAAAACCAATGGTCAGTAGGCCAATGAAAAAATCGTGTCAAACTTCACAGTCAAAATAGTGTTTTTTATTCAACTTGGTCCAGAATCAGATGAATCCAAAAGGACATTCACTGAGGGGCTGTTGGAAGGGTGGAAACACAGTAACCTCTTCCAGAATATGACATGTGACGGCCTTAGGTAGGAATGTCGACTTGGAAGGTCACGGAAATACTTAGAAACCCGCGAGACCAATTTCTGCGCACGGATGTGTTATAAGCTACTCGTCAAACCCAGTCATATCGTGTGAGCGTACTGATACGCGTTCTGATCCGTAGGTCAGATTCGTCAACTTGACAAACGTCATCTGCACGAGGCGTTTTTAGCTTTGTGGTAACAAATCGCAAAATACCGAGAGCCGAGTAGATGAACGTCACACACCATCGAACAAACTGACTTAATGCTACCTCAATTAAAGCAATAAAAAACTGCAACTTACCGACGCTTTTCAAATTGGCCGAAACTGGCACGCAATGGCCTCCTTGTGACCCAAGTTGCTATCTTCAGGGCAAGAAAATGTCAACCGACCCTAACCGAGAGCAAATTGTTCGGGCATCGCTGCGGATATGTGCTCGCCCAAGTGTATCAAGCTATTTTTAGTCACATGGACCGGTCGTTGTCCGAAAACCCACAAAATACCACCCGTTCGCTGGCGCTAAACAACCGGTAGTTTGGTTTGCCGATGGTGGCATTCGCCAGCGGAATGATTGATGAGCATCCCTGTGGCGATCGGTATCGACAGTTTTGACAGAGTGAAGGATACACTACAGGGTGAGAAGTGAGTAGGCAGAGCTTCCAGGAAAGAACCGATCGAGTGAATGGTAGGCGCCATGTGAAATTTCAGAACATGGACGGCGCGCCACATCAGACTGGGTTGGGCTGTGGCACGCATCACCGTAATCCTCACATATAGCGGATGACCAACGAAGGCGGCTTCCAGCTTAGACTATTATCCTGTTCCCTGATGAAATTCTCTGCTTTGTCTCATCCAGTGCGGATACGGAAGTTTCATGAGGTTAATACAGCGAATAGAGTAGGTGTGTGATTGTGCAACAGTCAATCAGTGCCTCAGTATTGGCGACCGATAACGCGGCTGAATTATGTCAAAAAAGGTGTACAATAAGTCACCGGATTCACCATAAGTTGCGCGTTACGTTAAACCGTGGGTATTGTTAAAGGAATCCGAGTGAGGGCATTATGGACCAAGCCAAGCAGATCGTTCTATACTTCCTTAGCTATTTCACTTGTAACGGTCACAAGATATGAGCGTATGAGCGAAATGGGAATACACAATCCTACCCACTTGTACGAAAGCCTGGACAGAACAGGGAAAACTATTGTGCGCCTTCAGCCATTGGTGTTGGTACATCTGCGTACATCTGTGATCCATGTTTCGCGTCGGTACTGCTAACGCTTGTAGAAGGAATCTTGATGAGAGGTCCAAATTCTTCAGTTAGGTCGTGTTACAAACGCCCAACGAAGGTGTACCTCAATGGATCTTAAATGTCCTGAGGAATTGGTAGTGTTTGCACGTCCTGGCACAGCAGGCTTCACTCCAGTGGCGCACGCCAGGGTAAGGGACCAAACACTGATCTGGCAAGGCATTGATACTAAGGATTAAAAAGGTTTGTGTTTCTACTATCTAAATGTGCCTTGTCTGTATCATGATACCCTTTCTGTTCGTGTAAGAACCGGTAGGTCTCAGAAGTGGCTGAGCCAACCCAAGCAACCGCACACACATCAGGGATCTAGTGCAAAACTAAACTTGAGTGAATAACAGTGGATGATCCACCTTCGTCATAAGATTATGGCGTCGGGGTAAGTAAGCATCCGAACACAAGGTGGTCTAACTAAAATCGTTTATAATGTTTTAAGCGAAGAAGCTGGAGCCTCGCAGAGAGATCCGTCTGTATTTCAGCTGCAACCCGGTCGACATGGAAGTCCGGACATACTTTGTATTTCAAGTTATGAACAAGTCTGGTCATCGGAAATGGCATCCACTAGATGGGCTATGGAAGCCTTGGAAGAGAGGATAGAGCTGCATCACAGCATGCCTTGGGAAACTTCTGAAAACCTCACTCAGGTTGCCTCTTCGGAACATTCATCTGAAAATTAACCCAAGCAGTACAACAGCTGAGCAGTTCAGGCGCACCGTCCTCAAAATGAGCTAAAGCACAAGTAACTGATCGATACTGGGATTAGGTTTTCCGGCCTAGCGTAGTTGATTTTTTAGATCTAGCCCAGGAATCGAGGCCGCTTTGACTGGATCAGTTGAACTACACCAGTGACCGGCACCAAAACCCATGGACGCGTTTCGCTACAGCAACTGGTCGAAGAATGTGCCCTTCACCAATTGCGGCAACGTGTCAAGGTCGTACCCAGCTAACCTACCAAGCTAAACAGTGTTCTGACAGCCTGATAGGCTTCCATAAATACAAGTTATGGGATTCACACCATCAGATCTAAGCAAAAGGGTGAGGTAAAACTGAATGCCTCTATTCAAGCAACCACTATACTTGAAACCAATTAAGTTGCCGGGACCCGTGATTTTCACCCATAAAAATCAGCTGGTTGCAGGTTCTTATGTAACAGCGACGGAATTTTCAACCGGTAGCCCAAAAACCGTACCGGATTGATCTTCAGGTCAACACGAACCAGTCAAGACGCTTCGCTTCAGCCAATAACATTTTCAGTCTAATCCTTTACTACAGTTTTGTGAGTTTGATTCCCTTCGAACTAACTTTAGTCAAGTAGAACATAAGGTTGATGGAAACTCGGGAACTGCGCCTACCTGATGAGCCCCAAGAAGGGCGAAACCGGTCGTGGGCTGTCGAGGAGTTTTCAGCAACCTTGTGAGTAGTTTCCTTCATGAAAATAACTTCAGTCAACTTTGCCGTGGATTCTAATCAAACAGTTGTTCATTATAAGAGTTCCAAAGACGTTCATCGGATACTTCCTGTTCTTAGAGGTCTTTTCATCATTGCACGCTATCACGTAGTTGACAAGATTCTATGTTTGCTTGAATCATTCTCCCTCCCTCAAGAGAGCCAGCTGTATATGGGAGGTTACTAACAAAAAGTTAACTACTATCATTTGGAAACGAATGAAAAACACATTGTCCTGAAGTTGAGACAACTTCAGTTGAAAAGGATTCCAAAACTGCTGTATATATTGGGTTTCCGTGTGGTTAAGTTGTCCTCATATGCCGTTCAGGTACTTTCACCCCGTTGACAGAAAAAAAACCGACAAACTGAACCAAAGAGATCGTTAACGGCAATGCAGCAGCTGATTGACATGCTGATTACGGAACCCACGACAGAAACACGCTGGGATAAAGTGCACTGGAAACATGTGACCACCAATGTGAATAGATTTGGCTGGAACACTTCGGTAGCATCAAAAGGGCACGAAAATTGAGAAAGTCGAAAACCCACCCGTCAAGTCAAGTTATCCGGCGACTGTCGCTTATTAGTGAGATAAGAGCGGATATCATTTTCTGTATCTATCTAGAACCAGAATCAGATTACAGACCCGGTAAATCCATTAGGATGGGGAAGGACAAGAACAGTTGTGCGTGGGAGACCCTGTGCCTCAGAAGACTGTGAAGCCTACGCTTAAATCCCCGTGGTATGCCCACAGCGCTTGACTCAGCGGTTGCACAACACAGGCGTCCCCCTGTTCACCTTATACAACTGGCCGTTTACTAGTCCCTTTGGATAAAAAGCACGAAATGAGAAGTACACATGTGTGCCATTTGGTCCCTAAGACCTAATCATCCCAGCTGACTCAGGCTTATGACCCACGTATAAAGACTTGACAGACTGAAGCGGTTCGCACTACGTAAACAACGATGGGCTCCCCGTTGTAACAGGCTCGAATGATGTTCAAATGTTTGCAATCAACTTTCAAAGCTCGATGAACAAAGCTCATTGGTATCCCAATGCGCAATTAGGGGAATCCACGAAACTTTTGATATTTTGTACTGAGGACATGTTGGAAGAACACACAGTTCGCCTTGGAAAACATTTCTATTCCGTTTATTTCACGAGGACAGTCCTCCTTGACAGCACCTCAAAGTTACCGACTAAATGTCGCACAGAAACGGTCGATACGACATCCTGGTATCCCAGATGATGATGATGATTCCCATTTGGGAGGAAGGGGAACAGATTTCTTCCAAGTCAGACAATCTCCTGGATCTGTGTAGCGAATGTGAACGTGTTCGTTCAAAAAGACAGTGGAAGAAGAACAAGTCGGAAGAACCTGCGAGCGAAATGATTAAAAATTTGGCTATTGGAATCCAGGGAAGACCAGCCAAAATTTGAGTGGTTCTGAACGACAGTCCGAGAGCCGAAATGTCAACAAAGGCCCTATTCACGATAAGGGATATTCATCTGAAACGGTTAAAGCCTACTGGCATCATTAAACGACGGCGTTATCCAGTCCAGCGTACAACTTACTCCAATAACCACAGAATACGACATTCGCGTCTTACATATTGCGACACACCCTGTCAAGACATATTCATCCGAGAAGATTCGATAACAATGTTCTTCGAGATGTCCTTCCCCAGAAGGAAGTAGACGCACCTTTAGTTGTGATGGTCCTCAAATGACAAAAACGTCGTTTGACGTTTCGGCGAAATGAGACGTTTGGAAAGTGGACCTGATCCGACGCACCTCGGAGACCGTAACTAAGAGCATCAGGGTATGGGAACGAAAAACTGTGACATGCCTTCAGTGAATTGGTCGACTAAGATGTATAATTCCACAATAGTTCAAAGACTCACAAAAATGTGCAAACCATTAGTCTTTTCCTATAAGCGCTTGAGCAGGACATGCAGTTCGCTGGAGAATATCGCAGACCAACAACTTCAATGATTATTGATCGGCTGCTATTTTGTGTCTGTCCTATTTACTGATTACTCCAGACAATGATACAAACGATTGTTTTACCGCTATCTATCATGTGACAGGCGGCACCTTATTCTCCTGACTGGTTTGCAACAGCTCCACCTTTTCGTGTCTCCGGCAGTCAGAAACAAAGAATTAATGGATATATGGTTTTCGCTAGCCAATAATTGCTTTTTTATTACGGCTCCAGTGAAACTAAGAGGGAAGAGTAATCGGCCTAAGTAGAGTTGGCGACAGCTTCGATAAAAGATAGTTCCGTTTGACAATAGACTACTTTTCACTAAAAAAACCAAGCAACTATACAATGTGCCATTGGTGTAGATTACACGTTGCGCGGGTTTTCTCTATCTCAGCCCGGGCTTCAAAATTTGGGGATCTTGATTGGCGTCCAATCTATTTCAATGGGGATCACATCCTGCAAGTGACGTACTGACAAAAACAGGGAGCATTCTGCAGCTGTCTTATCTTTGTTGGAAATTATAAAAAAAACAAGCATCTCATGAATCATCAGCGGGATTCAAACTCTCAACCTTCCAGCTGGTGACTAAATCCTGTACTATTCAGTCATTGGTAATTGATTGAATGTAGGCAATCAGGCAATTCACACCACATAGTTATGTGTTACATAGACCTTCGAGTGAAGACTTCTCAGATGGGAAATGGAGGCGACTTGGTGCGGCGTCATCCTCAATAAGAAAAGCAATCGTGGCATGCTGAATATGGCAAGATTTTGAGATTTTCTATCTAACTGCGATTCAATCGCAGTTTTAATAAGCTAATGACGGGTGGATGGTATGAAGCTTAGTCATCGAAATGAAAGTGGTGGGCTAGAATCCTGCGACCAGGATTAAGATGCTGTACAATGATAAAAACCCGACCAAACTTTCAAAATGTCCTGATACTGCAAACAAGCACCACAGGGTGCATGTTCGATGAATACTCTCATTTGCACACGAATTTGCTTTTGACAGAAGACTCGGTCGAATCGCTCGTTTATAATCGTCTCCTTAGGAGTAGTATGCTACTAGGCGCATATTAGTGGTTTGCTTAAAAACGAACCTGGTAACACTAGAAGGTGGGTTGCAAACTCGGCACTAAACCACAGTGTGAATATACCAGATCATGATACAAAGGTTTTTTTTTATGTACCATGAGCTTATGTCGCGTCGCGACGGAGAGTTCAGCTACTGTCAGGAAAAAACTGCCGTGAATAATCTGAGGATTCATATAACATTGGTTCCAATGCTCTCGGGTGCAACTTGAGAAAACCAAGTGAGACACTCTAGAGAAGTCAGTTTAGACCCTCAAACCCATTATCTGCTCATAAATTCTAGCTCCTCCTCTGGTAATCGCAAAAACATGAACGGATAAAAAGAAACACCTTTGTAGATTCCAAAACGTCTGTAGAAAAGAAATGTAGAAAAAAACATCGTTGAAGCTTGGTGGGACCTATGACCGTTTAGTGTTTTTCCGGCAGGCCAGATTTCTATGTTCACAGTGGAAATTAAAGGCCGTCAATATTTCAAACATTTCCCTGGGAAACTATTCAAGCAAATGCACATCCAGCTCACTTCAGTCAAGGGGTAATTATGAAATTCATTTGTTTTACGCACTCTAATCTCACTGGGCAGACCACTTTTGTTCGAAAAAATGTCTTGGAGTGAGGTAATTAGCAACATGTGGTTTACACAGCTCCCACAAATTTTTGCGTCATACGGACAGTGCTAAAATCAAGTCTGAAACACATGCAGAAACGGGTTATTAGTGACTTCAATTAGGCATGACCACAATCAGGTGCTGCATGCACCTGGTATCGGAAGAACCTTGCTCCGGTTGAACAGGTCATAAACAATTCAACGTAAGCAATTCCTGGAAAATCGGTTAGTTAATCGTACAAGCGACGATACCTGGAGATGCAATTCTTGTCCATCGATGCTATTATGCGCCTATAAGAAAATCACCTGTGTTCTTCAATGACTAGAGGAGATCGGAGGCATATCATACATTTTTTGAATGTCCTTCACGTGAAGACATAATGGGATGATATCCAAAGTGAGGATTAGCTGGTACTCTTCAGAATAATCGTAAATCAAACAACTGTATGTCGCCCACATGCCAGTCCAGGCAAACTGCTGAGATGGAAACAATATTTCAAAAGGCTTTGAATCACTGCAGCTGTAGTGCCAAAAATGAGGTCGATGCACACTGAAAATTTACTGTAGAGTTTATCCATCCGTTACGTACAAAAATTGGTCAGCTCTTAAAATCACTATAACGTTTCCTTCTCATGAAAATAAGCAGAAGTATCGTTATAACGACGGTGCACTGCTGCAGAGCAGAAGTCCGTCCGTAAATAGAGTCGTGAAGAGTTAACTTGGGCTAAACGAGAAGTGCGAGATGGCCCAAGTGGTTAGAACGCCAATTTACCGACCGGAAGGTCCGTGGTTCGAATCCGACCTCCGGCACTCGACTTCCCCTGTCTAGGCTTGGACAAACTGGTAGTATCCCAGCCCTCGTGCTTCCTCCGGATGGCATGGCAGCTAGGCACCGAAAGGGTGTTACAGCAGAACGATTTATTTATAAACAAGAAGTGCGAGATAGCTTAGGGGTGAACCGAAAAGTATGTGGTTCGAACCCAATTCCGTCAACCACTGCTGTCTCAGCTTGGGCAACCTGGCAGTATTTCAGCCTTCGCCCTTCTTTTGGGGTGCTTGATGGCTCAAAACCGAAGGGATTATTATGAAGTCATTTTTAAAAATAAGTGAAAACAAAAGTGAACCGTTATTGCCCGGGGTGCACTAGATCGTTTACTATAAGCCGAGGTAAGTACAGTCCAACAGATTTGAAGGTAGATGACTTAAAGTTGGGAGCATCTTCTCGACACCTCACTCTGTCTAACCCTACGGATTAGTGATTATAAAACTCCTGAAATGATCCGACGGAAATCTTAAAGTGTTGTGACAGAAATTTCGGGACAGCTAGACACCATATTGAGCTGTTCTTAGGCATGCTCAACTGTCCTCCAATCAAAGTCGAGTTAGCCTTACATTCTCACCGAGAGACTTTTGGAGGATTTTAACGAAATATTTCGACTTTCTGACATGCAAATGATTGTTTCACTTTCGAGGCTCGATACATTTCACAAACTCAGATAATATCGCTCTTGTGTATTTTATTCCCCAGACATACACACACACACATCTGCCATTGTCTTTCTCTTTGAACGCGAAACAAAAGCGCGTTCCACACCACTGTGGACTATTGTGCTCGATCACGTGATCCAACGACGCATAATACAGGAAGATGAGCAGCTCACGCAGCTGTCTCCCGAATAATTTGTGGTGGTTCGTCAATCCCAAACAACACCGGGGGAAGAATAATGTCGTGTTCTTATTCAAACAACAACGGTGATGAGTCTGGGTGCGTTGTCTGATGAATATCAGACACAAACAATGGAATTTTGCAAACTGCGTGATCTGTAACGAACTCCAGGACATTCAACCTTCTTCTCCTTTCCATTTCAATGCATGGCAGTCGGTAAAAGTCAGATAAGTAGAAGCGTGTCAGAGCGAATCAGTAATAATCCGAAAAATGAGAGCAGGGGCGCCCGATGCGATTGCTTGTCGCCATCAGCATAGAATTCGGACAGTGTCAACATGACGCCTGGTATTAAGGGCAGTCGATGATGTTACGGTGTTTCGGCTGAAAGAAACTCGTGACCCCATTCAAAGCTATTCCACTAATGGGTTTCACTTGTGGCATGCTCTAAACGTCCCCAAGCTCAACCGCGTCCAACCGAAACAAGCAGCAAAAATAGTGTTAAGAAGGGGAGCGACCTCAAAGTGCTGAGCCAATTGAGCTAAGGTCTATGATACGTTCTGACACAAACGTTACCTTAACTGCCTCGGATTTTATGGAGCTGACAGTGGGCGAAAAAAACGTTCCTCACCGATTACGGGAGATGAAATCAACCGTCAATTTCTGTCCATCCCCGAAAAGATGCCAACGAGGTGGAAGAAATTCGGGTAGCAATGAGAGGCAAGAGTATCTGGAGCAAAGGATGCATGTGACCAACATATTTTAGAATGTAACCATGTAAAATAACCTCGGGATGACCAAGTTGTACTATTTCCGCGCACGTGAGTAACTTATGGCAAACGAAGGATAGGCTGCCGAGTTCCAAAAATAACCTCGGTAAGTTTGACTGCACGGCAAAAAAAAGCTAGCAGTAAAGCAACCAAAAGTCAACAGGCACGGAAAGGGAAGGTGCAACGGACTTCCACACTCAGTTTTATAAATCAGTGTCAATTGAACCAGGTCAAAATATAAGTAGTGTACGAACAACCAGGATTTCTAGTAGGTGCCACTGGGATTATACCGGGTGTCTCATCATGGTTGGAGTGGGCGTTGGGGGATCCAAATGGCTAAGCCCGACCGAATATTCTTCCCGAAAAATCTTAGAAAACCACCTATTTAGGTGGTATAGTCTGGTAAAATGTTCGGTTTTATTGTTGTAGATGGAGTTTCCATCGATGTGAGAGACGGGGCTGTGTCTGTCGGATACGCATACTACCGATTGTCTTTCTAGAGATGTTGGCCAAACACACCAGAAAGGTAGTTTCCGAAATGACATAAAGGATTGCATAAGTAGGGAGCAGCTTCTCTGGCGACGATACAACCCAACCATTCTTCTTAGAAGAACGAGTCCACTGTGTATTTGTCAGATTAGTATTTTCCTATAGGTGAGAATACTAGCTCAGTTTGTTCGGAAATTGGGTAGGCGATGGCTTTGATGTACGAGCGTTTGCTAACTTGAGACACCTATGGCGTCAGAATGGTTTATCCCTTAATCTGAAGGGACGTGTGTATCAGGCTACAGTACGGGCTGTTTTGTTGTATGGCCGTGTGACTTGGCCTATTCGAGCAGCGGAACTGAGACGCCTTCAGGTGCTTGACAATCGTTGTCTCAGAACCATAGCTTGGGTGAGTTGGTGCCAGCGAATCCGTACAATTAGAAACGAGTCTTCGGCTGTGCAACAGGTACTTCCATTAAAATGTATCCAGCACCAGAAGCTGCGTTGGTTGGGACATGTGTTACGTATGCCGAACCATCGTTTGCCGAAGAGAGTGCTGTTTTCCATGCCCAACTCAGAGTGGCGTAAACAGAGGGGTGGCCAACCCATGACCTGGCAGAGGAGTATGAAGGAGATCACGAAACGTTTGGGTGCTGTCGGTGCTACTCACCTTCCAGGGTGGGAACCGCGTGATCCTCACTGTGCCTGGTTGGAGACACTACAAGATGTGGCTGCCAACCGATGTCAGTGGCGTTCTTGTTGTCAGTTTCTACGCAGATCGCCTGAGTGAGTGTCTGGAGGTATAGGCACCTCGGAATGATTGTGTTAAGCTAGCACTAAGTCCCTTCCCCGTCCACCTTTACTCTTTTCTTTACAATAAGGCTTTCAAATAAATCATGGTTGTACGGCAGTGAAGCATCAGTGTTGAACACTGATGTCATGCTTTCGATGGTGATGATGATGACGAGCGCCACTGACTGCGCGATTGGGTTGTTCCCGCCAATGTCAATAACCACTGGTGATTTAAGTCCCTGGGTCCCCATCTTGGGATGCGGCAGTTGCCCACGTTTGGCTTTCGCTGTTTATGGAGCATTTCGCGGTTTTTTTTACGGTAACATGTAAGCAATTCAGAAGTGCGGTGTCACATCCTACCTGACGGTAAAGACTAGAAAGTATGTCATGAGATTCATGTTAACAGGTTTCGATAGATCATTACGTCCTGAGAGGAAAACTGCACCGACTAGTTAGACGAGTACCGTGTGGTTGGCCCAAATGTAACTGAAAGTGACGTCGATCAGCCTGTCTTCAGTTGTATGCACTGTACTCCCTGCCTAGGCTAAAAAAAAGGTATTAAGCGGTAGCAGTAGTAAGCACTGCAGTTGTCCATATCACTTGCTGTCATACTTCCTACGCCATGTGTGCAGTATAGCGGGATTCGACTGAGTGTTAGTATCGGTTCTTCGTTGCCTTTAATGGACATGAACGACAGTTAGTATCCATCATCTAGTGTTTGACCTTGGAACTCGATCAGGTCTAGGTCAACAATAGTTCTTTCTTTCAGCTGTAGCACCCTTTCGACGCCTAACTGCCATGCCACCAGAAGAAAGCATGAGGATTGGGATACTGCCAGGTTACCCAAGCCTAGACACAAGAAGTTGAGAGACAGAGGTCAGGTTCGAACCACGGACCTTTCGGTCAGCAAATTCGCGCCCTAACCACCTGCTCGTCTCGCCCCCATCAAGAGCAGTACAACTCAGGAGATATGCCAATATATAGAGAGCTGTTACTAACTCCCTGGAACAAACCATACTGACTCGATCAAACAGAACCTACATTATTCACTACACTTCACCATTCACACCAGAGTGGACAGCAGATTTTTACCAAACTTCGAACATACAACTGGTTCCATGCCTCATTTGACTGATTCACTGGAGGGTTCCACTGAAGACACATTCTTCCAAGTCACAGGTTTTGAAACATGCAGGAGCCTGACCATTCTATACCCCAACCAACTGTTCTAAACTAGGTTGCTGGTGTGGGGTAGCTGCAACTTACCATTTCTAAGGATATATAGCAGCGACATTGGCGAGCGTGAAAGCCGTACTATTTGATTATCCGTGCGAACGTTTGTAGTGCTGCTCAGCTGAGCCGTTGGAGCGTTGAGTGCACGAGCTATGTTACTGTCATAATTGACAAGCCGATGTCTAAGCATGGTTCAGTGAACGAGTGCTCACACTATGCAACCTGAAAAGGTAATGGTTGAGACTAGGTCTAATTGAGTACCGTAGTTGGGCTCCATCGACTGACTGACCTAGCTGTCACGGCTGAGCAATGCTGGGAAATCAGCGTCTAGTGCTCTCACATGTAATCACGTAGACGAATACACCTTGCCTTTATCCGTTTGGCGTTTTGCAAATACATGAACTCAAATGGATAGGTTCAAGCAAGAGTCGCGAAGAGGAAGCATTCAACAAACCGGTTTGGTACGATCGATTAAAACACGTGACGAGTATGCTTTTGCAATGGTGCAAGTTATGTAAAAACAAAAACGGCTCAGACGGTGAAGTAAATGGACGGGCATATGTTCATATCCGTCCAACCAATGGTGAACAGCCCCCTACACATTTTGGGGAATAATCGTATTCCCTAAATCTTTGGCAAAATAACGCGTTTCATTCTGATTCGGATCTGGACAAGTGTCGAATAGTGAACGAGCCAACTCTATGTGTACCATGTATCGGCTGGACTGGGCTAGTTGGACAAACTTGACACGTACATGCAAACCTAGTGGTCTTCCTCTAGGAACGACATGATCTGGAATGTTACCAGAAAAAGAACAGTTCAAGTCACAGGGGGATTGCTTCTAGCTGGTTTTCGGTGGGAAACGGCAATACCCTAAATTCTGAGCTTTCTAATGCTAAAAAGGTCATGACAAATTGCGGATTCAATGATTCCGGTAGCTGGGCAAATCATTCACATCATTCTGATTCACAGAAATGTGGGAGATCTGGCAACATTTGCATTTCCTTCGTAACTGTAACACCAAGGGATGCTGACGACTGCCGTAAGCGTCAGTCTTAGGGGATATAGATAACCCGCGGAACAAGGAACGCCCGGATACATGCACGCCCTGTGAAAGGATGCGAAAAGCAAAATTGAGTACACAGAAAATTTGGTACCAGACTGCAATTCGAAGGTCGACAAGACCGGACCGTGACGGAATAACAACCGGTTGACGACCTAGGAGAAGCACATCCTATTCAACAACGGTACACTCAAACAGATTTTCAGGGTCAAGCGAACTCTTTTTATTTCTTCAGAAAGTACCCCCATTCTCGGAGAAAAGTTGTTACTCAATGTACAGGACCGACCAGCATAGTGTTCCAACAGTCAAACTGTTTTATTCCTATGTGGCTATTCTCGACTTGGAAACTCAGAGAACCAGATACTCTGCACTTCGAAGGATGTGGGCTTTCCGTTTCGTTAGACCAAATGCGCGGCTTCATCTGAGGTAGCAATGCATCAAAAACGTGCTCAGAAGAGCAAAACGATCAATGGTCTGCATCCAACTCTAATTCACGCCTTTGCCGCTATTCTAACTTTGAAGAACTGATTAAAAATGAGCACAGCTTGGTATGCAAGTTAAATTCCTTTTGCTGAAGGGCGGTCAACGGCCAAACCGTACCTAGAGCAAATACTGGAAGCTCAAGGGTTCCCAGTTGTCCGGTCAGATAACGGCACATACGTATTCCAGTGAGATGCCTTTGAATGTTCAGCAACGTGCCTTGAGCCGGCGGCTTTGTGAAGCTGAAAATCGTGATCCGTATCAGAAACAGACAATCTAGGACCTAAATCTGCGAGACCAAAGATTACATACGGAGGTCGTTGCTGAAATCAGAATTGTGTCTCATTTAGTCGCATTCGCGACGAAATCCTGTCTGTTAATACCTACAGATGAAAACAAACGCGAGAGGTTAACTGTACTGTCTGAAGACAAAAACACGTCTGCACTGATGCCGGTGTGCATTGAGCGAACCTACGCATCAGGAGAGTCAAGCAGGTTGGTTGTGGCCCCACAACTGCCACAGCTGGTGCGAATTCCCCGTGTCATGCTCGGCACTCGAGGACAACAACAGCAACAACAAAATGCATGAACGCAACGAAGACAGACTCACAGTTTGCGGTGCTTTCTCGTCCGCCGCTCTAGCCGAGGGGTCGGTGTTGTCAGTCGGATGGACTGAAGCGTTGACAGGAGACGTCATATCTGACGACACGGTTGTCATGAGAGATACACGTTCGGTTGAACTACAGCTTGTGGAGGACTGAGGCTTGGATGAGAAAGGCGCACAACGGAGCCGTGGCAAAAGATTGGATGACTTAGCAGGTGGCAGACACGTGGAAGGCGATAGGGGATTTTTCTGCTGAGGACTGGTTCGCCAACCACTCAGGCAAAACAGTCGGCTTGCAACGTGGATAAGGTTGAGAGGACACTGACGAATTCCACCCTTGTCATCCGAATGGTGTCCAAAGTGACCCGTGTGACCTGTGTGGGAAAACAATTGAAAACGATACGCAAGGTGAGGTCTGAAGTTGGTGCAGAAAGAAGTCGAAAAGAATGGCGGGTGCGTTTGTTTGCTTGTTCGAAACTTCCCCAATGCCAAAATAAATCAGTGGGTCTATTGTCTTTTCAAAAAACCAAGTTGTGAGAAAAGAAGAGCGATCGAAACTCTCGAAATACTAATCCGCAGTTTGCAGAATCCGAGCATTCCGTAGTGCTATTCTCAACAGTGATTGCTTCACTCTCCAAGGGCAACCTTTCGACGGGACTGGGAAAGACGAAACAACTTCACCTAAACATTTAATAACTGTGAAGTGCGAAATGCATCTGTATTGAAGAACAAACCAAAGCTGATAGGGACGGTTGTAAACTCTGTTCATCTGATGGGTGCAGCAGCTAGACATCTGGTCGATTGGGGATAGTGAAAAAAATCACCCATTCCACACTTATCAGCTACTCACAAGAACCATTTCAGCGCCCTCACGGTCAGTGGGAACTGGACAACTTATATCCGAGGAATGCCAGAGGACGGATAAAGGGAGGGTTGCAGATGGAAGAGCCACAATCTCAATATCAAGTGCTGAACCATTCGATGATGTGATGCCTCACCAGACTTTTGCAATCCAGTGAACAAGTCACATTCCGAAAAACACGGTTAACCTCTGCTCCGTACAATAGCCTAAACCAATGGGGTTGACAACAATGTACAGATTTCATTTACTGTGTTGGCTTTGTAAGCCTTGATAGCCGAGATTCCGGACTCCACGGCGCATCCACAATAGCGTGTTGGATTAGGAATCTGACACATGTTGAGCCTAACTAGAGGACAGCACACTACCTTTATGTCAGCTATTGTCATGGGAACAGGGGAATGAACCAGATTGTTTTCACATTACGAGTCACTAGGCACGACAGCTTGCGTATGACCGGGGGATGCTGGTATTCAAAGCGAAGCAAACTCTACTGCTGGCTGTACTTGACTTGGTAATTGATAATTGACTTGCAAACGTTCCGTCACCATACGAGGGGACACCATCAGTGCGCAGTGATCAACAACCAATAAACTCACCCGAGCTACCAATATTTAGACACATTACCAAAGTCTACGAACACACTATCGTGAGGGACATTAAAGTGAGCTGCTTACATCGTTTTGTGTTACTGTGGTCGGAATGCCACGCAGAGGTGGGAAGGCTCGATACTTCGGGCATCAGTTTCCCTCTCTAGATGAATCATACAGTCGCGTAGGCGAGATTGCTTGTGGTTGATGTCTTATAAAAGTGACCGTTTCTTGTTCTTTACGGTGGAGTACCCAGATGGAGGAACAATGGTTCTACAAAGAGTTTGGGGAAACATTCCAAAGTGAGCTCTGTGTCCACGTTATTCTTTCCTCTTGTGGTTGTCGTTACCCATCTGGGCGCTTCACTGAAATGTCGAGAATTCAGCAACACCTAGTAGAAGTTGTCTGGAATTGGAACTACGTCCCACTGGTCTTATGTGAATGAACCCTAGATTAATAGTAGCAAACAGAATTCCACATGCGTTTCAGATAATACTGTGAACTCCAGTGTGAAGTTACCCAGGTGGACGGCACAAGTTCGGACACACGCAGGAGAACCTGATTCACATCCGGAAACATCTTTTGGAATGAAGGTCAGTCAGTGACTAGAGGGTTACAGCACAGCCGTGATCATGAAGCGCATTCACTAGACTGTTCATTAGCGACCTGAACTTGCCCTGGTCAAAGAGGTATTACTCGTAAACCGGCAAGAATTTCGAAATCCTGAGCTGGGATTCTGTCGTCCAAGTGAAGTCAGTCGATTTTCCGAAGAGGCACAACAATGTATCATGCGTTTCGGTCCTCTTGAGAACCAATACAGTCGAGCATTTAAAACAAACACTGCGGACCCACAACGTGCAATTAAGCTACAGTTGTGTGTGACCGGCGAATTAAACAACCGAAAAGCACAATACTATCCACAAAATCCAATGCAAACGGTCAATTGTCATTGCGGACGTTTTTGTTCCACCTCACATATTATGAATTACTTTTTTGTTGATGCCAACGCTCTACCCTGGACGACGATAGTTTGTATACTCCCCACTGAACGTTGTGTGTGAAAACGTAATCAACGTAGACAGAGTAACACAACCCTCTGCCAACTCACAGCAGCTCAGTTGGCCAACATGGCCCGTTTGTTGGACATTTTCGGCTGAGCTAACAACCTGTATTGATTGCCTGAATTAGCCTGGATGTCATCCAAAGTCGATAATATGGCTAACAAAAATAAACAAACCTTTTTTGGGGAACGCAAACGAGATTGCGATGATGATGATGGCGGTAGTGATCACGATGCTATCAGTCAGGAACCGACTGACAGAAGCGGAGATTGTAGATTCCAAGGGCTAACTTGAATGACTGGCAGAGAGTGGAAAGGGGTCTAGTCCATACCGAAAGGAGGAATTCAAGCAAAGCGACATGACGAACGACAGCAAATTCCGTATTTTCGGGCGTGTTACGAACGAGTACATGAGGAAACCAACCAACCACGCTTCCCACTGGTGCAGCTTAACCGATGGTTGCCGATTTCACAAGTTCCCGACCAGATGTGGTTAGGGGAAGTTAACATATGGACATGTGTTGACTTGAAACATCCTCAAGGCTGGTAGGTATGTGGGAAGGGGAATGATGGCGATCGGATCATTTCTACGAAAATGATGCGCCAACAAGCCGTTTGGAACGTGGTTTTTCTCGATAACTCCGACAACCAGACCTCAACATTTCAGATTTGGATAATCTGTTGTCAGGTGAAGTTCCAGGTGGGAGCACGATTTACAGATCGAATTTCTTAAATCCGGATAAGAAAAGAAGGTTATCCGATCATAGTCTACACCACCTGAAAAATAACCCCTGACAGAGCCTATTTTGATGGATCTATGTCGGAAAGTGATAGCGGCGGTAGTGAGCAGCCAATTTGGTCCTCTGTCTACTCGAAGGTGGTCGTCTTGTGAGAACAGCAAAATGCGCATCGATTCGAACCCGCTAATACCTCAAGAGAGGCGCCTCACAAACGAGGCAGTGGACCATTACCCGGCAATTCCCACCTACCATATGATCCAGACTGAAGACCCAGTAACTACCTGGCAGCTCAAAGTCCACCTTTAGTGCTGCATATTTGTTTCCTAGGGGTACTATTCATCACATGGCGGACAAATAAGTATCTTTTCCAAGATTTATACTCAGTTTTCACATAGGACACCTGAAACATGAAAGCTGCCACCGTCAAAAGAAATTCAAGGCCTCGATGCGTCCCAGAATCATCTTGAGGCCTTAAACTCACGGACATAAATCCAGAACAGGTTGCAAGTTGCCAAAACACCTCCCCGACATTATCCAACGTTGGCCTATTCCAATTCATTCAGCAACATCGAACAGCAAAGGACAGTTGCATTCATGCGCCGACTACTGAAGCACTACCAAGATCACTAAAGTCAGTCATTTTTGTTTCAGCTCGAGGGATTACGGTGCTTCGCAGAAGTGGATGTTTCGCTCACTTCGAGCAATTTCTGTGGTTCTCTAGGTTCTAAATCAAAGTTGTGGCAGACATGGAAGAGCCTTTTCTAGCAAGCTGTACAGAAATCCTTGTTCGAAGATGAGACAGCACGTGAAAAGAGGGCTAGGCTGGTGTTCCCTAGGTTCGACTGCCTTAGAGAGAGTAGTGTGCCAAGTGCAGCCTGGCTCCAGTGTACTTTACATCTGATCGAAGTATGTCCATCAAACAGTTATAGTGACATACATAATGATCTAAACCACATCCATCATCGACAATTTACGTCAACTGTACTGACTTTGACGCCGTAATGGGTGATGAGGTCCATTCGCTTGCAGGCCTTTTAAAGTAGACTTAAGCGCCCCCCCCCCGCCCAAAAAACAGCCTTGGTCAGTTTTAACCACACAGATAATTTGGGAGGCTTCGGGCAGTTTGAGTTTTGGATGGAAAAGACGAACGATACAGAAATCGTTATTCACAGTTGAGAACTTCCCAAGTAAGATTACTACGGAATACAATGATCACCTTCAGCGATTTTTCGGATTCATCCTCTTACCATTCGCAGAGGCAACACAAGTATTTTATGATAGTCATAAGGATGCCTCTCTTCAGAAAGCAAGTGTTACTATGGATACTCCAGGTGGGCAGCCTTTCTCAGAAGAAATAATTGTGACACCAGCGCCGCTCCCACATTATCTGGTTCATACAGAAACACAACTGGATCAAGTATCAAGTATGCCTGACTGCTACAACCCAACTGCCACAACTTCAGCTCTTATTGCGTCGAATGGGATGAGTCCTGGGAGGACCGTATGACATTTTCTTCCTTCGAACCTTGATGAAATGGTGGTACCAGGGATGAGATCAAACATATTCTGCTAAAGTCACACGATACTACTTATAAGTGCGCGATATCCTGAATATGGTGTTCAATGAAACACGAAATGGTCTTTGCTTGAAGAACATCACAAATAAGAGACTCAGCTGAGATTCGGTTGAGTCTCACGTTGATACCATTTTGAGTTGATAACAAGACCAGATAATATTTTCAAAAAAAGATGTCTAAAAGTTGGCAGGAAGTTTCTTTTACAGGAATATTTCTGGAGGGGGTGGAAGACAAAGCTCAGGTGCTCGTGATTTGAACACGTTTCGGAAAATAAACGGATTCACTTCTGATAGCAATTACGGCACGTGTTTTCTCCGGTCATAACTGGTTCAACCATCAGGTGTATATGGTAAACAGAATGGGGCTCCCAATCGCGTCATTGAAGTGCGTGAGTTGAGCTGAATTCCAATAAACCACGAGTATCTGGCCGGTACCTGCACGTCAGCTGAAATCTCGTGATTCGTTACCGCATACAACCTTCAAGTCACGAACCTCCCGCTAAGATTTGATCGAACAGTATATTTCTAGGGCCACCAGTTTTCACCAGAATACACAACCGATTCCGGTAAAACAAGGGCTGTGGTTCGGCCTGTTTATCCCGTATTTTTGAGTTTTTTTGGAATTAGCCCTAAAATAGCTAGACCGTATTCGTTCGGTGTAGAACAAGCACCTACGCAGCCCATGCTACTAGCTAGGAACATGAGCGCATAATGAATGTCATTATCCCCATCCTTCGTCCCAGACAGTAGTTGCATGTGACGATAGCGTGACATCACACTTAGTTTTACACGTCCTCATAACCTGACTGACGTGTACTGGATTCGAGTAAAACAAGCTAGTCTGAACAATCATTATGTGCTCCGTGTTTGCCCAACTTGTGCAATCTCACAAGCATAGTTTCCGAGTTGAACGAAAACCTTGCTCGCTGTTGCCCTCCGTTTGACTCAGTCAAAACACAACAGCTGTAGGCAGAGTGCAGTACGTATTCACTGCCATGTTTACAGTGACAGAGGCCACATGTCAGTTGCGAACAAGGTGACGATTCTCAGTTCGGAAATGGAGACCAATTTGTTTGCTACACGTGGTCTGTGGGTCAGCAAAGTCGTACCATGTGGGCACACAGTACCAAAAGACCGCAACGAGCCTGAAACCATATTCACCACTTTGCTGATCGCGGATGGATAAGATCTAATGTCGTGATTAGCCAACCAGAACCAAGGGACAAACAGACCGACCACTTTTGACACAGCAATATAGAACTTTACTAGCGATACAGATTGGGGTCCTGCAGACTGATCCTAACTTCACACAGCTTTACAGGTTATGAGTGAGTCAAACCGCATGTACAGTGATATTCCCGTTGAGGGTAGGGTGGCCACCATCGAAACCGGTCGAGAGGGAGGGCTGAACGCAGCAGACGATAGCTCTGATAATTCTATAAACATCCAAGTCATTCTTCAAAGTCAGGGCAAGAACAATGTGGCTGTTGATGTGGGTACAATCTTGTCCAAAAAGATGGTATTCGAAGGTACCAGCCAAAAGCGGTCACGAAAAGTGGATGATCACAGCAAGGGCTGTTTGTGATAATGTGGACGGAGGGCTTTGGTGAAAAGCGCACTTAACGCCATGTTAGTTGGACTGGAATTTGTGTTCAGTATAGGATTGGCAGAATCCAATAATATGTGAAAGAAAGTGAAAATGGCGCAGAATGTCACCAAAAGAAGGGAGCTTACCAGTTTCGGGACACAGTACACAAAACGATCGACTCGCCACCGGTCGGCCAGAGTCTGTCGTCAAGGTTTTTCGAGGAGGCAAACGGTTGGCGACCGCCTCCACGAAGAAGCGAGTCACTGAGTCACCCATTGCCGGAAAGAATAGGACGAGAGTTCGAAGAACCTGCATGGTACGTAGGAAAGACGGAATCGTTAACCGAAAGTTGCCTTCCAAAAGATCATCCGCGGAAGACAATACGCGTGCCGAAACCAGGGTATGAATGATACCTGACGTTCGAAAGCTGTTTCCACACCGTCTATCTGATGCGACTTTTTATTAATCGAAATCTAGAGTATCCTAGTTAGGAGTTGAAAGCAGACCTCAAGCCCCCAAACGAGACCACGGGCATTGATTGATCAAGAGAAAACAAAGCCCCAGGAGACACGAACATACGTCGGACTGGATTGAGCAGAACAGAACATCCACCGTACAAATGGAAATGTGTGAATGTTTAAAAGGTTCACGTAAGACACTATCATGATCAGAAGCCAAGACATTAGAACTGAAAGGTGCTTGATTGCCGAAGCGTCATGTTTATCTAACTACGCTAAAAATCCTTAAAGCGGAAATCAGAGAAGGATAGGTGAGGAAGGGGACCTCGTGCTAGCCTATTGCGAGTATTCTTAGGTGCCTACATGTCCGAACTCTCAATCGAACAATCCGGGTAGAAAATGACAAAGCGAATGTGACACTGATTTGACTAGCCGCCCACGTTTGGATTTTGTTCGAAATGCATCAAAGAAGGAAGGAAACTAATAGAAATGGCAAAACTCCCTCCAAGCGTTTTAGGGCGCGGCGTGCAGTTATCGGGAGAATGTTGAGTGACATGAACAAGTTGGAATAAAGAGAACAAAAAGGAGCGTAACGCCTCCGACGTGTTGGTTGCCAAGACATCTTAGTTGTACATCTCCGCAACTGTGGTTTTGCGGTGTATATCCGAACAGAGAACATGGTTTAAAAAAAGAGACTCATTGAGGACTCGTTCGAATCCATTATATATAACCAGTTCAGTAAGCAATTGTACTGGTTTATGCTCAACTAAGAACTGTAGGTTGGAATTTAGAGCAGACGCTTCCACTTACTAAATGCTAAAACATAACAAAACCGTAGGCGGGTCCTCGGTGGATTTGGGTTGATTACATTGTAATCCAAGCACATAAAATGTTGCTCCATTCGAGCCTCCGTTCCGTTAGACTATCAGCAACTGATGTACAGAGATTCCGGGTGTTGATCGAAAGGCTCGAACCATATAACTACCGACCGAGACACAACTAGAATGAAAGGGAATCAGCATCACCATCATTGTCAGTTGTAATAACCGCGTACCCGCCGTACAGTGGTTGTAGCTGCCGCAATTTCGTTCACCGATGATTTATGGGGGCGGGGGGGTAGGTAGCTGCGCATTTCAGGCGGGAGATAATAAATTGGTGCTTAAATCCAGGAATGAAAGGGAGAAACTGGGCTGTCTGTGAATTTCCATCCGTTTTCCCACATTACCTATGGGAAATATGTTTAAATTGAAATCTTACTCATGTTTTCGACCCTGCTTCACCCATCTTACAACGAGAAAATAGATCCAGCTGCCGATGAAGTATTTTATTTCGCCAAAGTGTATGCAATATCAATCATCCCATAACTTCTTGGTTCGAGCTCACCACAAGTATATGAGATCCATAGCACACAAAACGGCTGTTTCGCTGACGGTGGCTGGTCAACACTCAATGGAAAAAAGGCTAGAAACCATTGAATTCTAGGAGAGAAACCTGCTGTAATTTGAAATTCTCATAGCGGGTAACTCGTTTCATATCCACCTCATACACTAAGACCTTCAGCTAAGTTATTGCCACTGAAACTCCATGAAAACCCATTGAAAACGGCGGCTTCACATCTCGACTGAAAAGAAACTGAACGAGCTATTCTCTAGGAATTTTGCCACATTAGCCCCGTTTTAGTTTATTCTTCTGTTTAGCCCCGCAGTTGAAAGACGTCAGTGTGATGCGACATAGGTATATTATTTTTGACAGAACATACTACTCACAGGGTTGCTGAAAAACAAAGGACAGCTCATTGCTGGTTCATCATTTGGGTTCATCGGATAGGCGTAATCTCCACGTTTTCAGTAACCTTATGTTAAATTTGAACGCTGAATCGTACGAAAGTGCGGAAATATGATCACATGTAAATTGAAACTCGGATAACGCGGAGACTTGCTTAGCCCCAAAAAGGACGAAACCAACCAAATAGTTTTCAGCGACCATGTGAGTAGCTTCTTCAAGTGGTAGTGGAAATAAATAAGCACCTGGTAACCACACTGCATATGGAAGTGCCTAGTAAACTGCATTTTATGTGGGAAGGTTTAATCGATCCTGTAGCTGCATAGATAGGACTACAGAAACAGTCGTACCAATCTGCAAGAACGGCAGCCGTACCAATTGTTGCAGGTATCATGGAAACTCTCCACAAACGCTGCAGCTAAAACCTTGATACCCATAATATTTTGCAGGCAAAATTCGGAAGATGAGTCGGATATTCGTAGATAACAGACAAACTTCTGCGAGAGCAAAGACTGCATTGCGGAAGAGGAGGAGCGTTACGCCTATCGGAAATAAACTTTTCAGAGTTTCCTTGTGGTTTTGACAGAAGAACAATCCGGTTGGAAACGCGATATGGTTTAAGTCTGTATCAATGCTGAAAACGCTTTGTTCGTAAACTTATTTATATCCAGATTTTGCACGACACCCTAAAAAGCTTTGGGTGACACAGACAGCCGAGCCGGGTGGCCTTTTACGAGTCGTCGAAACGGGGCTAAACCAAGAACGCTTTCTGAATCGGTACACAAACATTCATGTTATGATGTTTTGTCAACTCTGTCAACTACATTCTGTTTTCACACAGTTGAATATCGCGCATTCTGGCACATAGCCCACTCACCGTGTACGACGCCCAGGTGAGCTATATATATGCCATTTGCCAATGCTGTCATCTGAGGTCATACACACAGACATCTGGGATCGTGAACCCTACCTGACTTACATAGAGCAAAACTCGGAGGGTCGGTAGCATGAGTAAAAAATCCGTAATGATAATAAATAACTGTACGGCTATAGGTATCCGTTCGATGCGCAGCTGCCATGCCAATCAAACGAAACACGAGGGCTGAAACAGTGCTAGGTTAACCAAGTCTAGACATGGGCAGCCGAGATACTGAGGTTGGGTTCGAACCACGAACCTTCCGGTCAGTAAGTTCGAGTATTTGCCACTGTGCTATCTTTTGCTGATCCGTAAATCAAACAAACCGCATGGAAATACTGTGATCTATCTATCTGACCAATCCGTTTTACCCTCTTCACAAGGGCCAGTGGAAGAAGGAGAGGCTAGAAAATAGGTGACTTTCGGAGGTGAATTTGTACTCTGGGAGTATACAAGGTATTACAATCCCGCGACTTTTTACTTGTCTTATAGTACATTTTGGCGGGGTGCAAATACAGCAGGACCACCGGTTAAGTATGGTTCATAGTTTGACTCTGTTTTGACCGGGAGTGCCACCATTATTAGTGTTAATACTACTGATACTGATTAGTAGTAGTAATAATAACCACCCAGTGCCAACCCCTGAAGTTTACCACCACTCCATCGAGTAAGAACGAAGTAGTTTGCGAGACCTAATCATATGGCTGTTCAGTCATTCGTGGACGAACGATAAAGCGTTCACTGGCGGGTTTGAGCTTTGTCAGATGTGCACAGCTGATAATTAAAATAGGGAGGAAACAGTTGTACAATGCTTCTCATCTTTCCAGTAGAGATAGGCTCCACTGATAGTACGAAATCTCAGTTGGGAACCCCTTCACAATGCCGTCAAAATAGCTTGTAATAATACGGTTTCCATTCTCTGGCTCCGAGTGGAGGGCTGTCTGCAGCTGTTTTCGACTCTCGATCTTCTCAAAGCTGCATTCTCAGTTTCAACTCTCAGTCAGATCGGGTGGACCAAATACGATTCAGTCAACTGATAATAATCGTTCAGCTGTAACACCCCTTCGGTACCTATCTGCCATGTTATCCGAAGGAAGTACGAAGGCTGGGATACTGTCAGGTTACCCAAGCTTAGGCAGTGGAAGTCGGGATGCAGAGGTCGGGTTAGAACCACGGATCTTTCGGTCAGCAAATTTGCGCTCAAACTACTGAGCCATCTCGCCCCCTTAAAATAAACCTCATGCTTAAAGACGTCAGCTGTAGCACCTATTTGGTGCCCAACTGCCATGCCATCCAAAGAAAGCACGAGGGCTGGGATATTGCCAGGTTGCCCAAGTCTAGACAGGGAAATGCGAGAGGCAGAGGTCAGGTCTGAACCACGGACCTTCCGGCCAGCAAATTCGCGCTCAAACCACTGAGCCATCTCGCGCCTATGGTGCAATAAAACAGATCCCTATGAGACCACCTAGACTGTGTTCACCGCATGCGGCTGGCAACCGGTAGTGACACTCCAAAATACAAGCCATACTTCTTGAACTGCACAACTGATTGGTAATCAAACACCATCCAAGCTAGCTTGGAAGGGAATGACAAGGATAAAAAATGTCCAAACCCTCGCACTGAAGTATCTGCTGTTATTTTTACACAAATAGATAAAGATGAGGACCTTATGAAAGTTCAAAGCCGAGAAAAGCGTATACTAGGAGGGAGGGGGATATTTGCTGTTCACAGCACGACTCCAGAGTTTTCAATATTACCATCTATAATCCATCTGCTTGAAATCTCAAAAAAGGAAAAATTGAATCACGTCGAATGCGCAGACCGTAAGCCCCTACACCAGCCGATGGGACAGAGAAAACGAGAGTCATGAACGTAAGATTCGGTTGGATAGATTTGTTTCATTCTCTGCCAAATTCCAACATGGCGCAGTTGATGAGACAGGTGTAATCTTGCGTGTGTCCCTTGTGTTTAGTTGTTGCACCACTGAATGGACGCCACCGGTTGGATGATGTACCGGCCTTTCGAAAATTCTCCTATTCCCTACAGTGTCTCCAGCTAACCCACCCACAAGCCAACGCTGGAAATGCTGACTACTGTGAAGCCACACCCATATTATCCGCATGAATTAATATTACCAGACATGGTCTGGCTGGAGCGGTAAAACGTTGGTCAGTTCATTTCTGGCAGCCTATGAGAAATACCAAGACTTGATGAAAGTCGACTGAATTTGCACAACACAAAAAACAGACATAGGCGGGCGTGTTGTGCCGGAACAAAGGGCGTGATAAGTAACCCCACGGTTGTTGTGATAATTGTTCACAAACAAAACAACCGGTGACAACTACAACCAACGCAGCCACAAATTGTCTGCCGTTCTAAGAAGGAAGAGAGGAGGTGAATCGATCGGTTAGAAAGCGAATCTTTGGGAAGCGGTCAAATAACGTTACGCGACAAGAGCGAATGGTCAAGAATGTACCCAGCCTAGCTAGCCCCCTCCAGAACGATTACTACATCTTACTGACGGGAGGCTCCCTGGTTGATAAATTTACTTAGCGTGAAGCCAGAACATCGATGCCCAATCGCACTTTTTCCCTACATCGCCAGGTAAAATAAACTGTATCCAAAACCGCTTTATGAAGAAATGAGTCTTCCATTGCAATCTTCAAAGAAATCAGGAATAAACTTCGTGGCAAGCCGTTGGAACGTTAGTTTTCGGGATTTTCACCACCGAACAGATCAACGGCCATCTGATCAACAATCGATAAGTCTCAAACACACCGGAGTTATCGTTCACCATTCGAGTGCGCAAAAAATAACTCCAACGTAGTACGAACAAAGTAGCAGAAATTCTTCGAAAAAAGCACAAATTTGTCTAAAGGTTGGCGTGAACCAGCATGGGCCGTTTGACACCCTAGGTTTATTAAATATATTAGATAACGGGTCGTTCCGTTGGTAGAGACACGCTTTGCATCTATGGGAACTACATGGTTGATTACAAAGAACATGGGAACGGCTAAAACTACCGGTCGTTCACTAGGTCCACCTAAAGATATATTTTCGAAGCATATTCCCACTTGTGCGACTCCAAACTTATTATTGCTACCTGCGTTTGCTTCGGAACCTATTCCACAGCATTGGTGCTGATGGATGGATGGGTGGATTATTGAGACTCGGATGAGTAACACAGTGAGCGAACAGCTCATCACATGGTTACGGTAATAAAACAGCAGCTGCTTTATCAGACCGACAGCTTATGAGTCGGACTATCTCTATGTGCTTTATGCCCCCCTCCCCATTAAGGCCAACATAGCTCTCACCGTAACCCAGTAGTACAGTAACAATATTCGCGAAAATCTATTGAATCGAGAAGACCAGGGATCTAGCCAATTACTGTCTTGACTTTACTGAAGTGGACAGTGTTGAAAAAAGCGCTAATAGCGGAGGATTTGCAGACTTGTTGGTTTGGGGGGAGGTGGCTTCAAAGCCAAGGCAGCAGCAACGTCCCAGGTATTTCGGTAGCTTTAGTGACGATCCTCAGATTTCAAAGAAGCATTCGGATGTATATGTGAACTACTCCGTCACCATACCAACTGATCAATGGCTTCTAGCTCAATTTCGAGGACCTAGAAAGGCCTGTTCTTCCTGAGCACTCAGTGAGCTGAGGATCCGAAGAGATACGAATGTTTTAAATGTGAGTTTACACTGTCCTTCTAAGATCTGGAGTTGTTGACATGGCTGAGGAAGAACCTATTAGAATATATATTGTTTTAACAGAGATGGTCGTTGTACTTGGAAGAGTACGCGTTTCTCCCGTCCCATAAGTGGAATAAAAAACTACATGAGAAAAACACGGTCACGTTAAAAACAACCGCAGCTTGTCCTGTTTACATTCACCGACCGTTGGAAGAAATATGAGCATCGAGGGAGCGTGAAGTGTGAACAATCGTTCAGGTAATTAGTTTAGGATACAAACCAGGAAGTAATGACAAAGACTAATGAGATGAAATTACCTGCGCCGCTTGTTCAACCAAATGGATCGATGAACAGCATGTGTGGAATAACGCCCCGGCGACAGATTTCACAACACCTTCAGCTAGAACAAGCAAGGGAACTTCTGCAACCGCCAACCCAACATCTTTCGCATCTTCTCGTTTGGGTAAAAGCGTTCCGGACGATCTGGAGAGGTCGACCAGAGAGGAAAGACTGCAGCTGGCAGCGCTAGAAGTGGCGTTCATCACGAGTTGGTGTAGCAGACCAAACACGAGAATGGAGAACTGCCGGTGTGAAGAGGGCAGACTCTCCAAAACCCTGAGGCAAAATAAATGGAAACAAGAAATATATCTTTTAGGGGGAAAACTCTACTGATTATTACTTCAACCGAGGGAGAACTTAACAAATTCATGGGAGTGTCTGATGAAGTGTGCTCCACAAACCCACATTGCCATCCGAAACTTGCTCGCCTGCTTCAGGATGGTTAATTTAGGACGAGTCGGCTTTGGGTTTGTCACGAATTATAATTCACCACAGGTAACAATGAACGGTTCAGTCCGCCGGATGCTAAACGTATGAACTTCCTGTGACTACCGTCATACAGATCAAAACGATTGCTAGCCAACAGGTACATCCTTGGAGTGGTACACGCCACCGCAGCACACATGATGAATTTCATCCGTTTACTGGCCCCCAAAGACCTGTAAACTGTGGCTCATCCGTTCGGCATGCTGGCGGTTTTCAAACTGTCCAGCGGTCCATCTTCCGGATTTGTTTTCTCCACTTTACACCAAGTAAGGGGCGTTCGGCTAGTTGTACCCATGGCAAGGCACTTACCAGGTGTGCCATCATCTGTACCGAGTTCGTCGATTTAGTTCAATGGGGCTGGCGAATTCCGGAACGAATGCCAGTCCACAATGAAGGGAGTCCTTTGGTGACAATAAAACTACCCCCAAGTTCGTGTCTATCTTGATGTCAAATGATAAACATAACAACCAGGAATGCACTGCGGAGGTTGATTTTTCTTTAGGCAGCGAAACAATCACACGCGTGAGAAGAAGACCAGTCTCAAACAAGTAACATAGCTCGCAACTGATTTTCGCAGCACAGAGCACACAAATTAGAGCACAAAATCATGCTGAGCACGAGGGTGCATTAGACAGGGGGTCGTTGTGAAGAATACTATGCCGCAAAAAGAGTGCTTCGTTCAACGAGCCGTGTGGTATTTCAGCCGAAAGAGTCCACAGTATCACAAACCAACTTGGGAAAAGGTTACGTCTCAAAAAGTAAATTACACTGAACCTACCTACAGGTGGCGTGAACACCATTCATGTAATGCAGATAAACTCAACGAAGCTTTGTAGCGGTCACTCACTAGATCACGTGCCACAAACACTCAAATCACGTGACAATTCCGACAACATGTACACTGCAATTTCCTAGCCATTTTTGTTTACGCGGCTACCAACTGCGTCACGCGCCAGGCTTGCGAACCAAAACAGGTCCAGCTGTATTCATCAAACACGAATGGACATATTACTCTTCACACTGCGCACATAAAATAGGCATGCAACTCGACCTGAACACGTACACACAGCACAGGAAGTCAACCTGGCTCCACAAGTCTTCATGGGCAACTACGGAACACGTGTAACAGATAGGCTGCAGAGAAGACAGGTCCCGCGTCCGGAAATTCACTCAGGAACTCTCAACAGTTCTCCTCAAACGATAGGTCACTTGTTGGCTTATTCCCTTCTTTCATTGTATTTAATTTTTTATCAAGTGCACATAACTTGTGTAATCATCATCCTTCTGGGGGCGAGATGGAAAGTGGTTGGAGCGCGAATTTACTGACCGGAAGGTCGGGTTCGAACCCGACCTCTGCCTCTCGACTTCCCCTGTCTAGGCTTGGGCGACCTGGCAGTATCCCAGCCCTCGTGTGACATATCAGCTAGGCACCGAAAGGGTGCTACGGCTGTACGATTTTCATTTTTCATTTCTGGAGAAACAGACATTTGTTAGTGCTTGTCACCTTCTGATAATCAACCCAATTACGTTAGAACCAGATCACTAACGATTGAAGTGTCACGTGATTTGAATGTTTAGTGACGCATGATCTGGTGAGTGACCGCTACAGCTCCATGCCCAACACAAATATTCGTGGAACATTCGTAAGAAAACCCAGCATACGTTTGTACGAGGAATATGTGACGCACTTCCGTTAAGACAAGTGTAATCCTCGTCAGCGCTTTGCACACGTTTATGAGAGCATTTTCTTTCTATCTGTTACAATGTAGATTGACTGCCAAGCGGAAATTCCGCAGGCAATCGCCTTTCCCCAGTTTTTTTTAGGATTGGCAGGCGACCAAGATCATTGAGGTTCAAGCACCCGAAAGAAATAAGCATCCATGCAACTACTGCAAATTGGAAACAAACAGTAGAAGTTAATTTGCGAAAAAAGTGGTGACCAATTGCGTACCTGAGAAACACAGCAATCCGTCGTTCGGCCACCTCGGAGAGTTGAGTAAGTTGTATAACGGAACCTCGAGGCAGTCTGCTAGAAACGGACCCGAGTGGATTTAGATCATCTGCAAAGGTGACGGTTTTTTGGTCGCCAGGGGGAAACAGCCGGGAGCAGTGTGATTCCGCAACGACGGATCTGGAAGAGAGCACGGGATCCAATAGCTCGTCGACTTCGGTGGAACAGGAACTTCCGGAAGCAGTGGAGAGGAGCAGAGCTTCACCACGTACACCAAACAGTCCATCGGGAATGGATAAAAGTAATTTCTTGGCCACATTAGCGACAGTGTACACGTTGTAGTCGCTCCAGTTGACTGGATTGCCAGAAGTAAATTCCTGCAGTATTTGCTGTAACAGTTCAAGCATGCGTATGAAGTATTCAGTTTAATAATAATTCAGGGGGGACGAAATCTGGCTCCTTTTGCAAGGGCAAGTGAGTATACACTGTAACATTGAGAAGCACTTCACATGCGTCCCGCTCTTGTTTGGCATCAGCGGTGTGGTACGTTGGAAGGATTCTCTGGTAGATTCGAACACACAACTTTCACCAAAGGCATACGCCCTATCTTGGAACCACTGGTACGGTTGAAATGCTCATTTATAGGACACCGCATTTCTCATGCCCAACAACCTGGTGTCATCAACCTCAGGCGGCACTGTCGGAGAATAGTCTAAACGAGAGATTCAGTCGAAAGTCAGTTGGGTCCTCTCTCAGTTGAAAATGAGTGTGTCACAATGCATGTACAGTACCGGGTTCATGTGGAAGACAAGACTAAGGGGAATCCCGTGGACTCAGCCTACCTGATAAAACCGAATAATGGTTAAACTTGTAATGGGCTGTTGAACTATTTTCACCAGCCTTATGTCAAGAAAACAGTTCTGGGTCTGCTTATTGGCACAGCATGGTTTGTATAAAATACATTGTATTTCGATTACAAAAGGTAGCATCACACGGGATAGACGAAATACACTACCCAAAAGGTTGCTGAAAACGCTTCGACAGCTTACGATCGGTTTTGCCCTTTTTGGTGCTCATCAAGTCCCCCGAGTCTCCGTCGAACTTAGTATGTTCTAATTGAACCCAAATTGCACGAAATTAGCGGAATACACTCATCTGCATGCCTGGAAGCCCGTTAAACCTCTCGTTTATGATTAATGTGCTACGCCCGGCCAACACAAACAGTTATTTTAGGGTCCATAATGTATGACTGATTATGGTCTGAACCCAAATGCACGAAATTAGCGGAATACACTCATCTGCATGCCTGGAAGCCCGTTAAACCTCTCGTTTATGATTAATGTGCTACGCCCGGCCAACACAAACAGTTATTTTAGGGTCCATAATGTATGACTGATTATGGTCATTTGACGTTGGTCGCGTTACTTTCCGTTCACCCAAGGGAATATCGGGTTCATTAGCCTAGTCTTTAGAATGGTTTGTTTCTCCCAACCGTCGATGCATCTGGTCGGATTATCATCCTGTCTGGAAGGACTTTCAAGAAGTCGCACAGAAAACCGCGGCATTAGCCGAAACCCAACGGAATCATACCTGCAGAGAGGCCATCTCGTGAATCTCTCAATTTGTTTCCAGCACAGTGAACCCAAACTGTAAGTGAATCATGGTCTACTCAGGGGCAACCGAAATTAGATCCATATACTTCGAGTACATAAGGATTGGAGTGTATTCCACGGTGTGAGTTCGACGTGTCGCCGCTAAATACAAACCTTTCCAAATCAAGTATGACAGGAACAGCTTTACCAAATGGATTTGACCGTCCCCCCTCCTAGAAATACTTACGATAGGTCGCACGTGCGAGATTAGCCGCCATCAACCCAGTGAACCTACAGAATGCTTCCAGCCCGGTACTAACAAACCTTTCAATGTGAATTACAAGTATCCGACCCCGGAACTGTCCAACTATGTAGGGTGACGCTTATGGATGGGCTGTACTTATATCCTTCACAAATACGGCTGTACATACTGCACACAGAGAGGAATGATGCCGAGTAGACGACTCCCGTCTATAGAGTTCACGTCCTTCCCTAGAGCAATTAGTCTACCGAGTTCGCACTAATCGCACCAGGACAGGAGAACGAGAGCTATGTGAAGTGTACGAATTCCGTAACCACTAACAACTGGATGGTCACGTCGTGAAAAGCTGAACATATCAAACGATGGACTTTGATTAGATTGAACCAGAAGCGAATTCCCTTTTAGTGTTCAGCTATCAATCAATGAGCATTGAGCAATCGCATCCTGTAACATCATCAGATAAGTCGATAAAAGGTCTGATGGAAGTATGGAAAGAGAACAAACAGAAAACTATATCATGATTGAAAGGATAAGGAACCTTTTCGAAATGCGTGCTGTTGCTACCGTAAAGGTGAAACAATAGTGAGAGGAACAATGCGCGCTGTCAGCGCCGGTTTTTATTTATTCCTATCAGTTATCAAATGGTTGATAGTCACACTAACACTCAAATGTCCAAACAACCACTTGGAATGTTTTTAATTCCAAAATGTTCACATAGTTCTCCCCGCGAAGTGCTGCTGTTCCGTGGATTTTCATGTTTAAAGGATACGAGCGTTTGTTCCAGGTTTGTTTTGAACCGTTCAGGCGGCAAATAAGACAGTCTTTTTCGCCTTTAGCCAGGCAGTCAGACTGTTTTTGGTGACCTGCAGTGGCCGCACTAATCGCTGTTGTCGCGATGGCGGGTAGCACATGCCGCGCACCCAGTATGGCGCGGAGCTAGATGCAATTACGTACGTACGTGAGATCAACATGTAGTTCTTCCCTGTAGTGTACACTAAAACGTTCCACCTCCCATTGCAGTGACGCCTGTAGGGATCTGCCCTACAGTTAGTAACTCACAACAGAATGGTGCGTATTTAAGCCGTCCAATCCCAATAGTTGTAACCCGAATAGCGATCGAAACAAATCGAACTTAAGACATGCAACTAGTTCGTCTGATGAACTGCATTTCTGAGAGTGTTTATGGTCCTGGAAGGTAGACGAAGCTAGTCCACGGCACGGGTCATGCATTGATAGGTATTCGTCAATGATCCAGCATCTTGCTTTGGACTACAACGGACTCGATGTGCTCAGCAACACACAGCTACTCGGTGGGCCGTTTGAGGAGTGAATTACCCGGATCGTTACGTGTTGTATAGACACATTGATGCAAAAACGCTTCCGGTTAATCCACCAACCCTTCGGTCTTCACGTGGAAACAAACATGTACGTGGTACTCCAGATGCGACCATCAGAAGTGTGCGTCCGGGGGCCTTACTGCGTCCACTCGATAGTTATACAATCCCATTTGTCGCTGAGCAGTCAACAAGCATTAATAATCCAGTAACGCATCATTTCAGTTGCAAGCCACATAACCCTGAGAGATATCAAGCCCGTTTTGTGACGAAACTGGATACACGCACCCAAGGGTTGGAGCATGCTGACGGATAAGGTTAGTAGTAGTAGTAGTAGTAGTAGTCTGCACAACAGCGCTGACGGTCGCGGTTTACGAGAGTTGGTCACTTCGCCTCTGTCGAATCGATGGCTCGTTTTCCCAGAACGAGTGTTTCCACGGATATTTATCCGGGGTATCCAGCTCCGATGCAACCTGCTTAGGACGAGAGTTAGAAGCGCTCGGCATGGTCATGGTGGCCAGACGATCTTATGTCGTGGAAACTGTGGCCAACCGGAGAGTTTGGTACATATTTTGCAATCCTGCTGGATCACGCATGATGCCAGATGTGCTCGTCATAATCGGGTTGCAAGGGAACTTGCAAAACGTCTCCGTCGACTGGGATACACCGTCTTCGAGGAGTTGAGAGCCCCTACTTCTACGTCGNCCCCGAGCGAATAAAAGTTGACGGCAAACTAATTTCTCTGGAGTAGGCTAAAAGTGAACACAGAGAACAAAGAAGGTCTGAATCTGACGAGGTGAAAACACAGAAGAACGAAAGACAAACGAAATTCTAAAGTGGACAGCAGTCCCTAAATATTACACTTTGTGTGTTAAAATAAAAGCTGACGAAGCCCTATCAAGTTCCATTCGGAAATATTCCGAAGACATTATAGTAGTAGTAGTAGTAGTAGTATAAGTGATAGGTTCTTTGCAAATTCAAGTTTCCCCGATGAACCTAGTATGAAATCCACCATCAGCAGAATAACAGTAACCGTAGGCTAAAGATTTACAGAACGAGGACAGAGTTGAAATATGCGTTTACTATGGTCCTCTTGAATGCAAGGCTGGGCTATCAAAAAAGTGCTAAGTACAAACGAATGGAGCGCACGCCCAAACGGCACCAAGTGTCTGACACGATTCAGATAAAGAATATCAACACGGTCACAAAATACGCAGATGCAACAGTCGGTCTGGGCTGTTACATTTATGCTCCTAGCAGTCAGTGAGAAAAAGACGCCAAAACTAAGATCGGTAAAAGTAAGCATGGCCAACCAAAGAAGTTCGAAATCTTATGCTGTGTATCTAATTGTGGGGCTGTAATCGACGAAGCACGCACGAAAATACGTGTGGATGAGTACTCAAACCACTGAAAACTCGTTTACGGTGTCTTGGAAGTATCATCATTCCGTACTTTACTACTCTCGGTGCTTCAATGAAATGTACTGTCGAGAGAACATCGCTAAAAGTCTACAGTTTGAAAAGGTAAGCAAACTGTTATTCATCGGGAACCTTAAATTTAGCTCATCTTCCGAGAGAGAGAGAGGTGCTGAATGTAGGATCGGAGATAGTTTCTGATGCACATCAGCTCGAGATGGCACCGAGGCCAATGGTGCCTGTCAAATCAGAAGAACAGGCAGAATGAGTGTGTAGCTAGGCTGTGGCATGGTAATGGTAGAAAAACTACGCGCATTTAGAGTTAACCGATCAGCATGGCAATACAAAGTCAGATTCATACAAGCAACAAAGACCCACACAGATGTGACCGGATCCCGTCACCTGGGCTACTGCCTTCCGAAAAACACACCGAGAAACACAATTCTTTCTTTCACTCCTAACGAGGAAACGTCCTAGTGGAAATTAGCTGGAGAATCGATCTAGAGTTTTGGCTGAACAATTCTTTCACCCTATCCTAACGAGGAAACGTCCTAGTGGAAATTAGCTGGAGAATCGATCTAGAGTTTTGGCTGACTGTCAGGTGAAGAGGATGATGTGACAGGCAGTGCCGGTGAATTTTACCGCCGCACATGCACGCAATCAATGAGAGGAACAGCTCGGATAGGAAGTTCATTTCGTTGTTGTCAGGATAAGTCTTTGTGACTAGGTACATTTTTGTGGTTCTACTGGAGTTTCGCTAGGGATACGAAAAGTATTCGGTCCCAAAGACGTACTAGCAAAGGCTACTGAACATTGCTCAGACCAATAACGTTTCAGTAGTATATAACGCGTTCACAGGTATCTATAATTATCGGTCTAGAAATAACACGGACTCATGGAAGTAGTCCATGCCGCTTAGGCACCACTATAATCACAGTAATCCTGTGCTAAACGCGTGCGTCGCTAGTCAACCCGTGCATGTGACATTCCCCGTTAGTTGTTCCCTAGAGCAAGAAGTGCCGTACCAAAAATAAGTACACCCGCGGGGACCACCTAATTGCATACTATTGAGAAATTAGCAGACACCGAGTTGTCAACCGCCATATCATCCTATTCCACACTTTTATCATCTTCAAACAATAGTACGACCGTGAGACGTCTCAGCTGATGAGTCAATGATCAGTCTGGTTAGGTGACAAACAGTTGGTGAACGCGATTGGGAAGTACCGGTCATTGCATGATCATTCGCTGGCACATTCACTCAAAGAACAAGGAATACTGCTCGAGCGACGCTTTTCCTTGTGATAAACCAGTCATCAGGAAGTGCCTTTGAAAGGTTTATTTCCTCCATTAAAACGGCCTCTTATAACGGCTCCTCGTCTAAACACTACCGTGCCAATTCAAACAGGCTCCTGTAAAAGGGCACCGGAGAAGCGAGTATTATGCACTGAAAGTTATGGCTGGAATCGGGAAATAAACATACCCTCATCTGTGTTATATTTCCGGGCCTGCGGAACATGTCATTCACATGCCCACCTTGCTGTGCCAAATAGACAAAGAGGCTGAACACAGGTTGGGGAATGTGGCACACATCGTCGCCAGAATCCGGGTCAGTGGGTGGGATTTGACCGTTCTTCGGTGACAGTCCTGGTGCGACATCAGTTGCCGTTGAGGTGGTCATCTTCCGTGATGTGTTACGATAGCAGCAGACAGATGACACCGTCATTGCGGAAGATGAACAGGAACATGAAGAGAACCAAGACGGTTTCGAGGTGGAAGTTCGCACACCATGGTTGACGCCCTGCCAGCAAGACATTTCAGTGCGATCGTGCAACAACTGTACGGAATAGAATGTCTTCGTTTTAGGCTAGTTCATATGAATCATATTGAACGACTGGAAACCAAAGCCTGAAAAATTTTTTAAACAAGAGGAACGTTATGTGCTTCGAACGAATGCAATCGCGTTCCCTCAAGCAACGACAAACTCAAGGTTCATTTGTCCAGCCCTTGTTGGACCGGGGGCGAGATGGCTCAAGTAGTTAGAGCATGAATTTACTGACCGGAAGGTCCGTGGTTCGAACCCGACCTCAGCCTCTCGGCTTCCCCTGTCTAGGCTTGGACAACCTGGCAGCCCTCGTGCTTCCTTCGGGTGGCATGACAGTTAGGCACCGAAAGGGTGTTACAGCTGAGCGCTTCTTGTTGGACCAGCGTAGCACATATATCATCATCAATAACAACAACAACAATAATGACGACGACAATAGCATAGCATCGGTGTTCAACACCGATTCTTCGCTGCCGTACAAGCATATGATATTTAAAAGCCTTTTGGTGAAGAAAAGAATCAAAACGAGACTTAAGGCTAGCAGTGCAATTTTTCGAAATCAATTTTATTTCCCTATGGCAAGTCAAAGGTTGACCACTTATATGATTTTGCTAAACTGCCTTCTGTAAACAATGGTTCTGCATGCGCAATACATGGCCTGACCAATACAGCCTCTGGTGCTGGATACATTCCCTGGTTAAAGTCCCCGTTGCACAACCGAACAGTTATTTCCACACCACCTTGTAACACAGTGCTATTCGTTGCCCACCAAACACCTTTGGACCGGCTTCCGATTCAAAATTTGTTTTTTTAAAATGAAAAAGTGGACAAAGAAAAGACCCGACGATAAAATAGTATACGACTAGGAGGTAGCTACACCGTGAAACACTCGCTTAGACAGCCTGGATGAAAACTGGCAGCATGATACCAGCGAGGTCCGTTGGCGGACATGTCCTGGAAACTGGCCAACCGAATGAATGACACCAAAACTACATAGACATCCCCTGATCTCGCGAAATACAAACAAATTTGGTTTTGCGAGAGACTCACCTGGAACCCAGCTGAATCTCTCAGTTTCGAAGTTTCCCCTAATCTCCTTCAGAAAAGCGTCCCCAGCATGAAGAGTGCCGGTAAACGGTGTGTCGGAATGGGTAGCGCATGATCGCACTACTGCTTACTTATTACTCCTACTTTTACTAGTGTGTAGTTTCCGCAACTGTTGCCCAATAAAAAAAATTTGCTCCGTGATCACCTCGTCACAAAGTGCCTAACGCTAGTCCACACAAAATGTAGAAGAATGTAGTCAAAAAGCTAAAGACGTCACGGACCCGAAAGCTGGCGGTCTCTGCTGCACGCGTGACCCTTAAGGGCGAGTAATATGTTTCTTGAGGGCATAAACAAGGTGCAAAGTAGCGAGAAAATCTCTGGACAACCACTTGTGTTACAACGCTGAGCCGTTGATTACAAAATAGGGAAGTGGTCACTGAGCAGACTGCAATACCCTAGGCGAACATCGAGAACAAAATTGATAAGATACGCCCTCAGACATTGCCGAATGTAATAGCCTGATTTTGAAGCAGACACATAAGTTGCAAAATAGGATTTCATTCGTAACTAAGGCAAACCTTTTTGACTCAGAGTTCTCTGACTTGAATCTAACGCTAGCGTTTCGATTTATTATGGCTAAGCTTTGAAAATCCTCTCGCTCCCTTAGAGTTATATAGTATTTGCCTAGCGAAAGGATATCAGAGTTGATCGATGCGATTTAAGTTTACTGCTACAAACGACGTTAACGTATGGTGCCCAAACATTCGCTCACATCTTCCTATGGACCGTTTACCGCTCGTGCCCGATAGACAACTCTGCATTTGCTGCTAGACAACCTGATCAAACAAGTAAACACGACTGACATTCGAAAAACGGACCAAACAGCTAGAAATTTGTAGCAGGTCATGTGACAGTTTGACAACCCTGGAAAACGAAACAGCCGAGTGTGGAAAGACACTAAAATCCAACTGAAGACGCTTGGATCAGTCGAGACAGCCGACGTGGGAAAACCAAACGGTACAAAACAAAGCGGGTCCCCATACACATGTTCGGTTATCTCCGAGGCACAAACAATGTCCACTGATAGAGTCTGTCGGTACAATGTGTGCGCTAGAAAGCACGGTCAGTCGGTCATGAATGAATGAATACACTGAATCCGACTGTCTCAACAATACGGATATGTTGCGATAAACTCGGGTGTGCACAACCAGTGGAAAACAATCCTGATAACCGGACGCCATTAAACTCTATTGTCCAGATGTCCCGACAGATTTATGACAAACCAAATCTCCACGTAACTGGACAAAAAATTTCGTCCCATCAGAGACGAAAAAACAAGAAGCACTGTACAGTTGTTTAATGCCCCCTGGGACTCGTGAGAGGTGCGCATCTTACGAAATTCAGAGTTTTGAACCTACAACCTCCGAGTTGGTAGTTCGATCACTTCAGTGTTTGGACTTGAGCGGCTGAACAGCAGTGTGATTAGCTCTGACAGAAAGAAATCTCGATTGAGATAAATCTCTTCACACTACGATCAATCTATAAGTAGCTCGAAGGAAAAATTTCACCAGAGGAGTGAAACTCCCGTCTGAGAAGTCGTCAATCGATGAGCCAGCCAACAGGTGTGACTAAACGACTGGCTCCTGTCACTGAAGGATGAGTGGCGCTAAGTGGGAGTTATTCATACTGCTTGTCAGCCCCTGATGGTCAACCGTTAAGTGTTCAACCACTGGCCGAATGGTCATGGGTTCGCAACTCTCGGGGTTTCGTTAGATGAGCACTGATGAAACAGTTGTACAGTGATTAGAAAACGGACATTTGGTTGTGCGGCAGGCACTTCAATCCGAACAAACATCCAGCATCATCGACTACAATGGCTCAGTCATGTGCTACACATGCCGAAACACCGTCTACCGAGACGAGTGTTGTTCTTCGTGCCTCCTTCAGGATGGCGCAAACCGCGAGGTGGACAGCACATGACTTGGAAGAAGGGCGTGAAAATGATCACGAAGAGTTTGGGTGTTGGCGTTGGACGATTTCAAGATGGGGTCCCCGTCATCGCTCCTACGCTTGGCTGGAGACGTTGCAAGAAATGGCGGCTAATCGATGTCAGTGGCGTTCGTGCTGTCAGTTTATTTCCAGATTGTCTGATTGAGCGGCAGGAGTTGTAGGCACCTCGGAATGCTTGACATAGGCCAGCACAACGTGCCCCCACGAACCTTATGGTTGTACGGCAGTGAAGCATCAGTAGCAACAATGATGCGCTGTCTTTGATGATAATGATGATAACGTACAGTGCCTCTAGGTTTTTAACCATGAGTTGGCCTTGATGAGAGGACCAAATCTCAAGTAAAAACTAAAAAATATCCTCACGCTACGATTATCCAATGAAATACCTGGTCATAACCAACATCTTTGGTAGGTATACTGGGAATTTCAATCTCTGGGTCTGAGCTTATTCAACTCAAATAGTAAACAGCCAGTCCAAATGTTCAATTAGCAGCAATCGTGAACGTGAATTGTACCACGGCCCAAAATTAAATGACGACGATTGTCCAATAAAGACACTGCGGAGTGTGACACCCACAGAGGATAGCCGGGGACTTGTTAAGTACTGTCAAAGGCAGTGGGAAAAAGCATGGCCTCTATGTGACCTACAGAGTCTGTGATCAGCGCAAGCATACAGTGCCGATTTACCTAAACTGAGGATCGCACAACTTCCAAAGAGCACTAATCCTGCCCCAAAGATACGGATTTCATTTTACAAGTAAAGTATAAAAAACTGAAAAGCCAGGCATAGTACACACCCTAGTCAGAAATGATTAACGGTGCGAATCTCACGAGCATTGCAACGTGAAACGCTTCACATAGCCACTGGACATTAACCGAACATCTGAGAGGCTGATAAGCAGTCTACTCTCGCATAAAGGAGACTGTTCACAAGGTTGCTGGAAAATCCTCGACAGTTCACGACCGGTTTCGCCCTTCTTTAGACTCATCAGTGAGACGCCATCCCCAAGTTTCCGTCAGACCTGTGTTCTACTTGAACCGAAATTGACAAATTCACTCATTTGCATATCAAGTTGGTTTTCACGGGAGACAAATAAATCTCTCATTTATGATACACTTCAATTACTAAAGATGGTCATTGACCAGATGTGATCTTGGAAAGTTTTTTTTCTCGCGACGGGAAACACTAATTACAATGTGGCTGAAAACCCCTCGACAGCTTATGAGTAGTGTGTTCCGTCAACAAAGTATCCTGAACATCATGCTAACTAAAATATGAGGTGGCCTTTGTGCAGTTGAAGAGTAGCATAAACGGGCAATCAGGCTGGGATTCAGTTGAACGCCCCCCCCCCCGGTTCGCAAATGAGCTTATTTCGCCAGAAAACTGATTTGTTATTATAGGAAAGGGTCGTGCGATCAGTTATCCGCTGCATCTAATGCCCACGCCTCAAAGCCATTGTAGTAGCCAGGCCAACTTAATCCTATGATCACTACCTAAGCCCTTTGACTGCGGACTACAGCTCAACACTAATCTCTTTGAGATCGTATCACTGAGATCAAGGGTACTTGTGACATTTCACTCCCAAATGTTTGTAGCACGAACAGAAAAACGTTCACCTTAGACCATAATGAATGAGGGCAAAACAGGGTACCGAAAAAATTGTAGTAATTCAGCCAATTACAGACAACTATGATCCGAAAACATTTGATTACAGATCCAGAAAAAATCATGGAGAAAATTACAAGGTTTCCGTGTTGTTCGGTGAATAATTTAAACCTTTCACTACCTTCAAAATACTGCAGAAATTCGGTTAAATTTGAGAACTAGGTCAAAGTAATCAAAAAAGTTGAGAAAATTTTTCTCCGAATTTTTCTTCTTCATAAGAAACTACTCACAAGGTTGCTGAAAACTCTTCGACAGCCCACGAACGGTTTTGCCCTTCTTGGGACGAATGGGTGTATTTCTCAAAAAACAGTCCAATTAGGGTTCAATTAGAACAAAAGGTTGACGGAAACTCGGGGACTGCGCCTACCTAATGAGCCCCAAGAAGGACAAAACTGGTCGTGGGCTGTCGAACAGCTTTCAGCAACCATGTGGGTAGTTTTCCTAATGAAAAGTTACTGCGATATCTTGAATACCGTGCCAACTGAAACATGAGGCGGTCTGCGTGCAGCATATTCATTTGTAGAATATCATAAACGAGGGATTCAGTTGGGTCTCTCGTGAAAACCAATTTGATTTACAAATGAGTGTAGTTCTCGTTTTCGCGTTTATTTCTACGGAGTAAAATCACAATAAGTAGGATAGCCAAGTGAATCGAGGAAAATGTGAGAAAGATCTTCCTTGCATCCAACCCATGGCTACATCCCTGTGACATCATTCATCATCATCATCATCATCATCATCATCATCATCATCATCATCATCATCATCATCATCATCATCATCATCATCATCATCATCACACCAATGCTTCACTGCCGTACAGCCATGACTTATTTGAAAGCCTTATTGTAAAGAAAAGAATAAAGGTGGATGGGGGAGGGATTTAGTGCTAGCTTAACACAATCATTCAGAGGTGGCTACACCTCCAGACATTCATTCAGGCAATCTGGACAGAAACTGACAACAAGAACGCCACTGACATCGGTTGGCAGTCATATCTTGTAGTGTCTCCAACCAGGCACAGTGAGGATCACGCGGTCCCCATCCTGGAAGGCGAGTAGCACCGACAGCACCCAAGCGTTTCGTGATCTCCTTCATACTCCTCTGCCAGGTCAAGGGTTGGCCACCTCTCTGTTTACGCCACTCTGAGTTGGGCATGGAAAACAGCACTCTCTTCGGCAAACGATAGTTCGGCATACTTAACACGTGCCTCAACCAACGCAGCTTCTGGTGCTGGACACATTCTTCAATGGAAGTACGCGTCCGTTCTTGGCTGTACCAATTTACATCACTTGGTGCACCAGAAGTGGCCACAAGCTTGCTGCCAGAGGGCATTCGTTCTCTTACAAGGCCAGGAGGGATAGAAATTCAATTGGAACAATATCAGCAAGATATGATGCTGCATTGATAGGGTAAATAAACAATCGCATTAAAACCGGCCCTGCCCACTGACCTCTCAGAATAAAGGAACTCCATAGTCATCAAAACATGGGCCAAATAAGGGATCAAGGAAACCAAGAGGAGCAGAAAAACCGCCAAATTCAAAAGGAAACATTGATTAGACCAGAGTGTACAAGATCAAACAAGCAGAAAAATGGGGACCTTCCAGAGGACGATCGTGCAAATCAACCAACTAAGTGCAAGAAAAGACGACAGTTCGGGAATTGACCAATCAAAATGCAGAAGGACAAACAACCAATCAGCCAAAGAGAAGACATACCAGAATGCAACACAAATTGCGAACGGGCAAATCCGAACAATGAAACTAGGAGCGTAACGGAGCCAGCAAACGCAAGAAAGTAAGAACAAGAAAGTAAGACAGTAAGAAAGTAAGACAGCGCGGATCACAAACGGGCCAACCGAACTTCGATTAAGAACATCTATGAATAAGCACTGACGTTAGAGGTCAAATACTGCTCACAAACTATTGAAGCTTCAGCACAAGCGGAGAAACTGCCTGCCTAGTCGCAAACTGGTGCAACCCGAATGGTGACAGAAATTATTGGGGCAAACAGTCTTGGGGACTATGGTAGCAGAATGGCGTAGAAACGGTGTAGCGGAATAGAACTGATAACCTAAGAGTAACCACGAAAATGAAATAATCTGACTATGAGCAGTTGACAAACACTGGACGAATAGAAAGCACATATTGAAATCGGATTACCTTGTTGGAGACAAAGGGTGTGATTAAAGTTCCAGGACGCCCGGCAACAATGGGAGCGGACATTTTGGCATTGCTCCTGTTCAGAGTCAATCAACTTGGGAGTCAAGCGATGAGGACCCTCGGTAAAGAAAGGCTTTCAGTCCGTCCCAAATTCACGACACGCGCAGACAATCTGGAGGCAGAAGAAAGTCAGAGCTGAGGATAGAACGCAGACGATTACCAAAGTCAAGCAGCAGATTAGAGCCCCAGGTTCTGGGTTGGGGAGAATGGTGCTTTCACTTCATTGACTGACAGTGCGTGGATAGCAGTTTTCTAAAAACCACTAAGGTCACTGGCGCACTGTCTTATTTGGCACAAATTAGGTAGTCGAATGTTGAGCGCAGTATCACCTGTGCAGAATGACGGGCCAAGGTGATTCCTACTGCAGGGAGTCTTTGTGATTGGGGTATGCTTCAAGGGACTAACCAAATAGATATCTTCCAAAGGTTCTCTCGGGAAGAGACAGTTATCTGTACAAGGAGAGGAGAGTGTGACTAATGTCATAGCCTGTTCCTTCTCACTCGAGATGGCTCAGTGGTTAGAGGGCGAACTTACTGGTCGCAAGGTCTGTGGTTCGAACCCGACCTCTGCCTCTCTACTTCTCCTGTCTAGGCTTGGACAACCTGGCAGTTGGGCACCGAAAGGGTGTTACGGCTGAATGATTATTATCTTATCTTTCTCGCCCACCCAGCAGCATGCAACAGAGCCAATGGGATTACGGCCGATGTGGCATGAAATTATTTGATTCGCGACACATGGTTGAACTGCTATGGCGTCCAGCCCTATGAGTAGAGTAATAAACGGAAGCACTGAGAGACTAGTGGACACGGACAACTTCGTTACAGCTTGCTGGGCAATGTAGGTGAACACCGCGGTAATGTTGATTTCTCTGTTAACGAACCCACAAAGTAGCATGATAAGAATCAAGTTAAGCATCCAGAAAAAACGGTAATCTTTGGTTAAATCTGTTGCTGTATGATACAGCTCAGTCTACGGTAACCCCGGATTAACACTCCGTAGAGCTGGCACCCATTAAAGATACCTGACGATGAGTGTGTAACTAAATTAATCGCTCCGCAATATCAGCACAGATAGTGTCTATTCGAACCAATTGCATGGTTGTGCTCCTTCCGGACTTGACCGAATCGAACATTATATCACCCTCAGGGATAAAGATATCCATGTTCCTTGCCTACCGCAGTAATCCTGACAGATCTTGAGAGGGGCCCACTCCAGCTTCAAAGACACTGTTTTATGGAGCGTATACCGACCCGAGGCACAAATATAGTTCACCGCGTCGAGTCATGCATGCGTATATATATATATATATATGGACGCTGGCAACTTTGCAGCACACTTAACTGTCAGAATCAAATTCAAAATTGGGACCACAATGCCGTGGATGGAATGAGTTATTTTATCAGGATCTGGACTATTCTTAACCGGGTTAAATTACCGATGGAGCTGGAGTCTTGTGGACGTATTTGGGAGACACAGGATACATACATACACAGGATACATACAGGGGAATATCTGCTACTCAGTGCAAAAGAGGGTTTGAACGATGAAGGCTGACTTGTCATTTGAAGAGTTGTCAAGGTGTTGTATTGGAGTCCGTCAGAGTAGTTGATCACAGAGTTCTTTTGATTGCGGAAAACACACATTTGCACATTGATTTGGCGTCATCTGAAGGCTTGATGGAAGCTCAGTTGGACACCTTGTTTCTTCAAAAAAGCGCGCTACTTAGAGACTGCCTATGTTTCAGTTGAAACGAAACTAATACTATGGAAGTAACTTTTTTGACGTGAACATGCGTATGGAGTTAATGAAAGCTTCTGGATAGTCTACTACCGGTTTTGCCCTTTTTGAAGCTCTCCAGGTAGTTTCCGTCTCCTGACTGATATCGAATTTACTCCGCGCTGGACCAACCGCAAATGAGAGGCAAACGACAGCGGGTTCCTCCAGAGATTTTGTTAATTCTAAAAGTAGTGTCATGGCTTGAGTATCGTATCAACTGGAACATAAAAGCACACATTCGAATGTGAGTATCCTCAATAGGAGATTTAGATGAGTCGACCGTTAATCTCAAGTTAGCGTGCAAGAGCGTATATCTCCACACAGTTCAGTTTAATTTATCCGCAACAGCCAGGCGGACCATAGCCAGATAACGTGGACGAAGGCCAAACAAAACAACTGACGTTCAGTCACTCTAGTTGTCGAATGATGGAGTAAAAAGAACAGATGGAAACTGAATATGATAAGAAAGGTCAAGAGCACCACTGGTTGCCTAATCCACACATTTTTATCAGTGTCAGTAATGACTGATGAGAAGGGTCTCGGGGTCCTCGCCTAGAGGAATCCGAGTGAGTTCAATAGTTAATCCTTTCATACTTAGTCGTCAGTTCATAAACTATCAGCCTCGTGGTTGTTTCCACTCAGCAAAAAGTTGGGCGAGAAGAGCTGTCCGAGGCATAAGATGATTTGGCATGCGAAGTTTAGAATCTGACAAGAGTCTGTCAAGCGCGAATGTCTCGTTTGCTACGGGAGTTACTTTTCTTAAAACCAGTGTTCATAATCCGATGTTACCATCAGAGCCGGAATAAAAACAAGAACATGGCTGAGCGCCGGACTTTCTGTATATCGTCTCGCGTAAAGGCAACATTTCCGACCTACAAGACAGTAGAGACCACACTACCGCAGTTTACAGTCTATCCTTAACACAAACTGACGGCCGGGGCCATGGGTGTCGAAGGACGTGTTGCACTTGTCGTTCTTATTCTAAAAGTGAACTCTTCTTCACCCGGTCCGCCGGGACTTATATAACCGACCTGGTAGGGCTATTGGTACTTGTGGGGTGAGATGGCTCCATGGTTAGAGCGCGAATTTACTGACCGGTTCGAACCCAACATCTGTCTCTCGACTTCCCCAGTCTAAACTTGGGCAATCTGGATGTATCCCAGCCCTCGTGCTCCCTTTGGATGGCATGGCAGTTGGGCACCAAAAGGGTGCTGGAGCTTAACGATTCGGTACGTCTTTAAGCATTAGGTTTAGGTTTAGGGGAAGGGATGCCAACATCTGCTCTCGACTTCCCCAGTCTAAACTTGGGCAATCTGGATGTATCCCAGCCCTCGTGCTCCCTTTGGATGGCATGGCAGTTGGGCACCAAAAGGGTGCTGGAGCTTAACGATTCGGTACGTCTTTAAGCATTAGGTTTAGGTTTAGGGGAAGGGATGGCTTAGTGGTTCCAGCGCGAATTTGCTGACCGAAAGGCCCATGGTCCGAACCCGACCTCTGCATTCCGACTTCCCCTGTCTATGCTTGGACAACCTGGCAGTACCTCAGCCCTAGTGCTTCCTTCGGATGACATGGCAGCTAGGCACCGAAAAGGTGTTACAGTTGAACGATTTTTGTGTTCATTTGGAACATCGCCTGCTTAATGAACCGTAGAGAGGGTGTGCTGGGATTCCATCAGCTTTTCAGATGGTGCCACATCGGGGAAAATCATTTTACCTTGAAATATTATTCTCCTCGTTCAACTGTGATACCCTTTCGTTGACTAGCTGTCATGCCACCCGAAGGAAGCACTCTGGTTGAGATACTGTCAAGCTGTCCAAGCCAAGACAGGAGCAGTTGAGCCGTAGATGCAGAACTTCCAGTCACTAAATCCGCACTAATAACATACGTAAGAATGAACAGCTAGAACATCAATAGTATTGTTTTAGTGTACATAATTATTTCACATTGCAAGCAAAATCAGGTCTCTGGCGACAGAAACATAAGAAATCCCAAATCTTCCCGTCATGAGTGGTGACTTGGTGTGTCTTCATGGTATGAAGGTCTTTTGCGCAAAACCGACTAGTGAACTAAGTTTGAATCGCTCATAAGTGCTACCCTAAGCACTATCTCAGTCATGAGCTTTTTTGATACGTTACATGATCAGCGCAGTTAGGCTGCATGGACTTTCGTAGGTTATTAGTGTATAGAATGGAACGCTGATAGACTCCACTTACAACAGGTTCTCGTCCCTAAAAGATGTCGCTGACTTATACACACGATTACCGGTTCCGGATAGGATAACATATCCTAGTCCGTGATTCCTCAGCTTCCGGAACTGAATACGGCGGTCAGCTCGGGTAATCTCTATGTAGGATCCACGTTTCGCGTGGTAACAACAGGCCATTTAGGTAGAAATTTCCATAACTTAATCCACCTTGTGCTGGTCATAATGTGCCTAGAAAACACACGCGATCTCCAATCCTTCTTCGTACCATCTCCAAGATATTAGGACGGACACAAGCGGTTCATGAGGATCAGCAATTTTACATCTTGGACTTGTCTCTATTTTCGAGGAATGGTGCAAAACTACCAATCCTTCAGCCTTTCTGTATTTTGCCAGTGCTCACAGACACCTAATCGGTGCTATCAAAGATGCCACGATCGCAGGATCCTTGGATGGAAGCCATCCTATCCTAGGGCATTATAGTCACACGATACTGTTGATACAAAGCCATTTGGAACTGTCATACATAGTGAATTGCTCAACTGCTCTCATCCTGCTGTCGGCAGGGAGGATATCATTTGAAAGACAGTGAAAGATAAACTATTCCGTACTGTACTCAGCCCATCATCAATGCGTTGCTCGGTGAACATTGCAGGGAAGCCATCCTGTGTGCTATGTTGTTGATGAATTTTCATGTGGCTAAACTATTTTCAGGAGCTGAATTGAGCCGGTGCAATCCCTTCAGCTCTATTCCTATTCTCCTTTTATACCGTAGTATTTATGATTTTTGCAGTTCGCACGCGTATAGTCGCTGATGAATGGATCCCATAGCCCATGGGAACAGCGCATTGATGCCACATTCACCAGCATGGTCGACTCTATCCAAAGATACACAAGTATCGCCCGACCACTAGAGGTCGGGTTATATATCTGTTCCTTGTGGAGTACTCACTCTAGATTCAGGCTCTTTCATCGGCGTCCCGTTTAGGGCGATCTGAACGGGTTCAGTATACACCACTGATCTGGACCGTTCACGTGTCTTTTTTCAATGAAAGCTTTCAATACGAAGTGACCGCTTTCCGAATTGCAGCATCTATAAACGCTTAAAGGCATTCGAGTGTATGGAGAATGAGGTCTACATTCGAAAATTGGATTGCTGTGCCGAAGTGGGTATGATTCCCATTATCTGCGACAGCTCCAGGGAGTGAATTCTAGCAGAGGATGTCACCCCAGCCACCTCAAATGTTGGGTAATCAATTTTTCCAGGGGTCAAATCTTATACGACATTAATTGATTTTCTTATGGCATTTTGTACGCAGCACACATCGGTCTCGTGGATTTCAACCCTTGGACTTTGCAGGTTAACTGCTAACAACATCCACCAGTCCCGTTCAATTCCGCTATAAGGCCTACTTTGCAGTATACTTTCAAGCAGAGCTACGCGACTTCGTTGGTTTACTGCCCCAATTTATGCAAAACACCCGAACGCTTATCATCGCGAATTTCGACTCTCAGTTCTGATGCCATCCAGGTCTCAATTATGAGTGACGTTATGCTCAGACATTGCTGCCGATCGTGATTAATGGGCAGCAATGATTCGTGATGCTGTTGAAGCCAACCCACTAGCTTCCAGGAGAAAGTCAACGTAAAGTAAAATAGGTAAGCCAAAGAAATTCGGGCCGTTGGATTCCAAAATATACGCCTGTGTCTACTTTCCTACTGTGGATTTTGACGCAAATCGCAGTAGCATTCGATCGCAACCATAAATCACATTCCAGCGACTGAATATTTGTATATTCCGGATAGAAGGCCTCCTTCCAGCGCTCTTAAGAGAGCTGATAGTCGTGAGTTTTCGCCCCATTTTCACCTGTTCATCCGGCATTCAGTCAAGCCGTATGAAGGGAATATGGCTCCCCCTTGAGCCTCCGTGTTTAGCAGCAGTTCCGGTAGAGCATCATCGTTGGGAAAACCACTTTCGTTGAACTAGGTTATCTGTGATAAAGCTTTAGGGTACCAGAATTCACCGCGCCATTGAGAAGTATATCACTGTTGACTGGACCCAGTAATTCATCCGAGATTAGCTAGAGGACAGTCGCATTTTCTCGAAGTCGCTCTGCTAGTATTTGGTTGTACTCTTTAGGATCACTGAGGCTGTAAACCATACAAAAACATATAACTCTGTAGCCAACCATACCGCAATACCTCCACGATTGTCTCCTAATATACACGCCTACTGATCATCATCATCATCATCATCAGCAGCAGCAGCAGCAGCATCATCGACAGCATGACATCAGTGTTCAACACCGATGCTTCACGCCTACTGAAATTCGGAGATATCCGACCTCTTCTTCAAATGTATCTCAAATTGGATAATTGTGCATCGAAGCTATCGGTAACACTAAAGTCGAGGCTAATGCCTATCCCAAGGTGTGTAAAACGCCCCATAACCCCGAGTGCCTCCAAGTGAATTGTTAAGAACTGTTAAGAACATCCACCTCATGGGCACTTCGAAACTTCCACAGTTTCCACCTCAACAATGTGTGTGGAGATCATTTCAAGGAGCCTAAATCCTGGTTGGCTGCTTGCGACTTCTTCAACCATGATTTTTCTAAACTCGAAACAACAGTCGTAGTGAAATCATCGTGGATCTAGCTGCGGACATGACTATAGAATACACTTTTGAACACAAATATTCAGATTTATTTGGGCTGCTAATATTCAAAGTTCCTCAAAGCTCCGGGTAATTCATCCCTCGTGATGCTGGAAGCAGTCTGCTGACGGTTAGCTGCACGCACTGCAGTTGGCAGTTGAGTCTGGGTAAAAAGGGATGTAGTTGCAAACATTATGAGGGTAACTATAGGCGTTAATTACAACCTTAGAAATAGGAAATTTCTTTACTACCAGACAAACGCAGCCTTCAGAGTTAACGCTGCTTCAGGTTCACATTTGCCCCGACGTCGTTGAGGACGTATATCTTGAGAAACGAGTAAATCCATATGTTGCGCTACACTAAAATGCCTCATAGAGAATTGCTGCTATGAAGCTTGTGACGCCTTCTAACGGCAGTTCGAACTAACGAAAACGAATGCCAAGCGCTATTGCCTGGCTGACGCCACATTGGTTGTTCATCTTGGAGGAACATTCAGACAAGTACAGTAAACTACCGGTGTAGGCTTTCCAGGGTTTTTCATCACATTTTTTCAGCTACAGCTGTACTGCTGTGGTTTCTACTGAGATTGTTAGACAGAACAATTGTCTTTCAAAGGCTCTTCACAAATGCTTAGAGCGTCATCATTCGCAAAGCTACCCAAAGGGTGGATGGGAAGGTCAGTATCCACCACGGTCCTCCCAGAAAGATTCACCCAACCGTAATTTGAGGTCAGCGAGTGTTTCCCTCCATGATTTTTCTGAATAGCTCATTCCACGAATACCGGATACGTGTGTATAAGCAAAAGTGATGAGGTAATAGATCGGAAGGAGAAAGGACCAGGTTACAATTATGACCTAGAATGCTGGATGGTGGGAAGAGATGTAAGACAGGTCCAAGGTCAAAGTACAACCAGAGTTTGAATACCTTAAACACCATCATCAGTCCGTAGCAAGTGCAACAATGGTGTGGAGGGAAGCAGCGGAAGCTACCTTGACAGTAGAATCGGAAAGACCCTGTGGAGTTCTTCGAGAAGTATCTCACAGAATGCCGAAGTGCACTCCCGAATTTATTTGTTTTTGAGTCACGGCGCACAAATCCACCAGAGTCTCTCACAACTGTTCATGTATGACAGTTGGCTGAGTAACTAATACGTAATCGGACTTACATTTTCAGTGGCAAGATGCAGGGCCTTCCTCACGTAGAAGGGCGATGTGCAGTCAATGGCCATGGCGGCGGTAAAGGTTATCCCATCCTTCGGTATACAGACGGCACTTGACGAAATGGGTCTCCATATCTCAAGGTCGTTGGCAAATAATTCACAGAACGATTCTCGAGACGCCATCATCACATCACTGATAGCAACACCAGTGCAGATAACACTAGTGCTTCGCTGAACCTTGGATCTGTTGCAAACCATCAATGTGGGAGATAATGAGCAGCACACATCACGCAGGATCCTGGGGGCATTGACGTCAATACCTCTTCAGAGAGGCAGGCTCACCAGTGCTTGCCGGGATCTAGAACGCATTGTTGGATTCAAAGACTTTTGTCCACACATATCAATGAAACCTTTGAGGAAACAGTCGGTGGTCCAAACGGAGCCGGAGCCGAAGTCGGTGAGTTGCATATAAGTCCTCAAGAACTCTGTTTACTAAGGACAGAGCTCTTCAAGTGCGGAC